GTCTTTTTGTTCTGTGTTGTGTTGTGTTCGTTCTTGTTTGTTTGTGTTTTGTGTGTGTGTGTGTGTGTGTGTGTGTGTGTGTGTGTGTGGTTCTTGTATTAGATGTTTAGCTGCGTCCCTGGCTGTATCTGAAATCATCCTTTCTCCTGGGCCTTAATAAGCCAGAGCATCTGCAGGCTTTGCAAGCTGACACCTGTGGGGCAAATTGCCGCTGCTTTTCTCTCTCAAGTTGAGAATCTTTACCTGCGTCACATTTTCACAAAGCCTCTATTGAAGCAGCTGCGCATGTCTCAGTCATTGCGGAGACCCAGGTGCCCAAAGGGATGCCAGGTAACATGGTGGGCACCTGATGGTTAGCAAAGAAGTAAATGATATCATGTATGCCGCGTGTTGGGTCCTGAGGTGGGTAGTTAACGCTATGCTAATTGCAATAAGATGCTCGTCCATCTTGCCTAATAGTGGCACTAAATCTTAGGTCATCTTTCTTTGATGACAGTGCTCTATATACGCCTGTCCCCACAGTGCCCATTCCCATATTTGTATATGCATAGTCATTTGTGGAATGAATGAATGAATGCAGCACAGGCCAGGCTGTGTGCAAAGGGCCATCAGCCCTTTGGAGGATCAGAGGGAAGCTTCACAAGAGGGGGGAGGGTGATGGTGCGGGTGGGGGAGGGTCAACTGAGAAGAATCAGGGTTTTTGCTTTTGATGTTTCTTGTGGAATTCCTCCCCCCTTTTTTAGTGGTGGGGGCCGTGTGTGTGTGTGTGTGTGTGTGTGTGTGTGTGTGTGTGTGTGTGTGTGTGTGTGTGTGTGTTAGTGTTACTGGGGATTGAAACCAGAGCCTCCAAATGCTAGGCAGGTGTCTTACCACTGAGCAGTATCTCCAGCCCTAATTTTATTTTGTGTTTATGGCTGTTTTGCCTGCATGTATGACTGCACTGTGTACTTGTCAGAAGAGTGTTGGATCCCCTGAAACTGGAGTTACAGATGGCTGTGGGAGGCAATGTAGGTGCCAGGAATGGAATCAAACCCAGTTCCCCTGCAAGAGCAGCAGGTGCTGTTCACCTTTGAGCCCCAAAAGTCATATTTTGACTAATAAGTAAAGGATTGGTAAGAGGAAGAAGGCAGCATTCCAAGGTAGGAGTGGGTGGCAATCTCTGTCGTAAAGGATAGGAAAGTGTTGGTGTGGGGGTGTTTCTTTGTGGCTGCAAGGCTGGTTGTGAGGTATCTAGGCAAATCTCTAGATTGTTCTGTGCCCTCTGGATTGAGCTTGGTCTTAGTGGACTCATGAGGGCTTCCAGGCAGGAAAATGACAGGATCAGCTTCTGAATATTAGGAGAAATTCTTTGGCTACAGTGTGAGAGTGAATTGAAAAGGAATACACTTAGGAGAGTGGCCCCAAGGGTAAGAGCACTGGCTGTTCTTCAGAAGACCATCAGCTCATAACCTTTTGTAACTCCAGCTCCAGGGATCTAATGCCACCCTCTGATCTCCATGGGCAACAGACACATGCATGGTACACTTACATACATATGGGCAGGCAAAACACTCATACACATAAAATAAAGAAATCTAAAAATAAATGTTAAGATGGAGAGGGTCTGAGCTCCGTCATTTATTATGTGGAAAGTAAGAGGGGTAGGAAATAGTCAAACATGAAATCAGGGTTTTGAGTTGAGCAACTGGTAGGAAATGTGTGTTTGCTGAAGGTGGATGGGACCTGTCAAATAGGTTTGTGACTGAATCACTTGGAACCAGGAGGATCTTCTATTAGTTTTGTTTGTGAGGAGTAGTAGTAAGTCTGAAGTAACTGTCTGTTTGCAGAGTTATCTTTATTGAACCTTTCGGTTTTTATTCTGTAAAGATTCTCCTTTTATGGGGCTGGAGAGATGGCTCAGAGGTTAAGAGAACTGGCTGCTCTTCCAGAGGTTCTGATTTCAATTCCCAGCAACATATAATGAGATTTGGTGGCCTCTCCTGGTGTACAGGCATACATTCAGGGAGAACACTGTTAACATAATAAGTAAATCTTTAAGATTCTCCTTTTAATAGACTGGTTGGTTGGGCAGAAGTTTCCTGTGCCTCTAAGTGTATAGGTATGGGTGTGGGGGGTTTACATGTGTGGGTGATAAAAGCCAATGTTTTCAGAATTAACTGTCTGTTTACTCATTTAACATCTTTTGCTTCTTCTTGACAGTTCCTTCAAGATTGTAAATTGGATTCCTGGAGGCCTTGGTAGTTTGCTGTGCATAGAGAGTACCTGTTAGCAGATCTCTCATACTCAGATAGTCTAAAGAGGATTGGATTCCTGCTGGTGACACAATGCAAGCTTTAGTGCCCTCGAACATGATGACAGCCACGTCCCCAGACCCTCCAGCTATGGCTTCAAGTGAACAAAGCAGGGTCCTTAGAGTGGATACTTCTAGGGTTCAAGAAAGGCTCTTAAGAGGATATGCCGATGACCTAGATTCTTTCAGGCAGAAGTTCAGGTGGTTTTGTTATTCACAAGAAGAAGGACCCAGAAAAACCCTGAATCAACTCTGGGAACTCTGCAAGCAGTGGCTGAGACCAGACATTCACACCAAAGAGCAGATCTTAGAGCTGTTAGTGTTTGAGCAGTTCCTGAGGGTTTTGCCTGGAGAGATGAGGATTTGGGTGAAGTCTCAGCATCCTGAGAGTAGTGTGGAGGCAGTGAGCCTGGTAGAAGATTTGAACCAAACACTTGAAGAAAGGGAAGGTGAGAGTTTCAGGTGGAGGGTAGGGGGATCTCCTAAGGTTTGAAGTAAACCTCTCAAAGGAAGCAATATTGCTAAGATTGAAAATTTAAAAATTAAAATTATATATTCAAAGATGAAGGCGCATTTAAGGTAGTGGTTCTCAACCTTTGGGAATCGAGACCCCTTTGGGAGTCAAATGACCCTTTCATAGGGGTTGCATATCATATATCCTGCATACTAGATATTTACATTATGATTCAAAACAGTAGCAAAATTACAATTATGACATAGCCACGAAAATAATTTTATGGCTGGGGTCACCACAACATGAGGAACTGTATTAAAGGATCACACAACATTAGGTTGACAACCACTGATTTAAGGAAGACATTTGATTTTACAGATTATATATAATCAATTCTGCATTGTCAGGTCTCTTCTTGGAGGCCCTGATTTTGAAAACTTAGCATGTTGCAGTGATAAACAAATTAGAGAGGAGTCCCACATTTTAGGCATACCAGCTACCTGTGTGACCACAAATTTGAGTTGGTGGCAGTAAACAGTATTTCCTCCTGGCTATCTTAGAGCTCATGGTAGAATCCATTCTGCCCATCACTGCTTCTCTAGAATTCTGGCCTCTGTGGAGACTCCTACCATGAAGAATCCATTACTAGCCGAAAGCTGTGAGAAAGAACAATTTTCTTAAACTGATCCTCTTACATCTTTTATATAATTTTCCCCCAAATATCAGTCGATAAAACTGTGTATAGTTCTTGTTATAAGATGGTAGAGTGTGATTTGGAAAAATTATTTCCCTTCATTTGAAAATGAATCTTCATTTAAGGATGTTCAGTATGTTTAGTCACTGAATTCAGGCTCCTCCTGGGGTCCTGACTCAGTCTCCCACCCCTGAGACCTCAATGAGCTCACCCAGAACCCCACACTGTTGTTTCCCCTGAAACACACAGTAGAGTTTTCTTGCTTCGAAACTAGTATCCTTAGGAATCAGCTGGCAATCCCAGAGACACAGTCGATTTTTTAGGCAGCTTAGTGTCTTTGTTCAGTAAACAAAGCTGTAAGTAACATCTGTAAGTTCAATAAACAGCTGCAATGAGCAAAGCTGGTTTACCTTGATATATCTCATAACCTAGAAATATTTTTAAACTATTGTACAAAGTAAGTATTTTACAGCTAAGGGTTTGTGGAAGGAAATAACTTGGTTTATGTGGATTCAAGAACTGGAAAGATCTTTGGATGAAACAGTGGGAAAGGGTCTATTTTCTAATACAAAAACTATCTCTGGTGGTGCTGTGTTTTAAAGAGAAGGAAAAATTGATTTCTGAACTCTCCTGCAGAGGGCCATGAAACACTGTAGTGTTCTGAAATAGATATTTGAATTTTCATTCCCTCCTTGGCCTGCAGCCCCTATAGCCCTTGTCATTTCCCATCTGTCTGTTCATTTGTATCCTTTCCAATATCCTTACAGTAACTAGGCAATAAACGCTTCCTGTGAGGCGTTCTAGCAAATTAGGGGGTTGTGGTGAGTTCTGATTCTGTACAAAGAATGGAGCTGAAAGACCAGATTGATTTTTCCCTTCCCCAGATCGTAGCACTCAAGACTCTGCTGTTTGCAAAGTGGAGGATTTGGGAGAAGAGGAGATGGTGGCTGTTCCTCCACATACGGAGCCACGTGTAAGTTTTCTTTAACTGGTTTTCATTCTTCAGTGGAAACAGCTCTTAGTGAAGAACATAAAGATACAAAATCAAGGCAACTTGTAGGTCTTTGTTTACTTGATGTTTATTTGGGTTCACAGATTATAGCATAATTTCTGATGCTAAACAAAAGCATTTAAGATCAATGAGATGGCTGAGTAAAGACTCCTGCAGCTGAGACTAATGACCTAAATTCAGTCCCCAGGACCTACATGGTAGAAGGAGAGAACCTACTCTGGTGTGTTGTCCTCTGACCTCAGGCATCCCGTAGCACACCTGTGAACCACAAATGTTTTTTTGGAGGGGAAGCATTTACTAAAACGCAAAAGTTACTCTTGATGAAATGAGTCAGGTAGAAATAGAATTGTAATTCCCTGAAATGGTAAAGAACATCTCCACCTGTGTGGAAAATCAGGAGATAAAAAAGGCAGGGTTCACAATGTAAGCAAAAAGATTAGTATTTCCTGAACACTGCAGTCAACCAAGTAAGACAGAAATGAAGTGTAAGCATTGCAGTGTGAGAGACAACAGCATATTGTTACAGATAATGTTACCATCTGTTTGGAAAGCCTTGGTATCAACTGAGTAAGACTAGAATGCATGCAGTAGCTGGGAAAAGAAACTGGATGCATATCAGTAAGTTTTCAGTACTAGTAATTACTAGTTAGGAACAAAATTACAGTAACAAGTGGTAGTTATACTACTGTAGGACAACACTGAGCTGCAGGAGTATGTCCACTTCCTGGAACTTGTGAATATTATTCACTTGAAGAAAAGTCATTCATTGCCAGTGTAGTTAAGCCATGGGTTTAAAATGAAGAATGGGTGCTACTGAAATTGGAAAGATGGCTGGGCAGTGATGGTGCACACCTTTAATCAGTGCAGCACTTGGGAGGCAGAGGAAGGCAAATCTCTGAGTTCAAGACTACCCTTGAACAGTGACTTCCAGGACAGCCAGGGAAACCCTGTCTTGAAATATAATAATAATAATAATAATAATTAATAATAATAATAATAATATAAAATTGGAAAGATGGGGAGTTGATTCTGGGTTCTGCAAGCAGGCCCTAACAGCTGTCATAAATGCCCTTACTGGAGAAGCAGAATTTGAATACAGATGATGATGATACAGAGAGGGAGGCAATTTGGAATGACTGGGCCACAAGCCAGGGAAGGTCAAGGAATGCTGGCAGCCACTGGAAGCTGGAAGAGGCAAATGGGCTCTCCCTCAGAGGCTCAAGAGAGTTCACCCCTGCTAGCTCTTGATCTCCTGTTTCTGGCTTCTGGAACTATGAGAGAATGTATTTCTGTTGTTTGAAGTCCCAGGGCCCTGGTTGGCTACATGCTGTGACATTGACAAACTGCTAATCCCAGTGCTAAGAGACACCATTGCCTATTTCCATCACAGAGGATGCCGTATATCTATCGTATAGAAAATAGGGAAGTTGCACCTGTAACCCCAGAACTCATAAAACTGAGTCAAGATGGCTGGTTTGAAGCCAATGTGGGTACCAAGCAAGTCTCAAAGGGGGAAAAAAAAGAAAAGAAAAAAAGTGATTTTATTGAGTTACTATACTTGTTTGTGAATGTGGCATACTTGTAAGTATGAGCATATTCCTGAACCAGAGACTCTTCGAGTGTATACTTTGAAATATTGCTGCAGCCAGGTGTGGCAGTGCACACCTGTAATCCAGGACTAGAGATGCCGAAGCAGGAGGAACTGTATGAGTTTGAGGCCAGCCTGGGCTGAAGACATAAACAGTCCCTGAGTACCAAGAAGCGTCACTACTTCACGTGACAGCAGCTATTATGTATTTAACTATTACCTGTAGTTAGCTTATAGTCTCCAGATGTGAGGATGGGGAATGTCAGTTCATACTCCTATTTATAATTTTCCTTTTACTCTTAGGAGTTAATATGTTAGGGTTAACTTGATCAGTGTTAACAATTTGGAGAAGTCTTGTAAATCAATATTTAGTGCTAGATTCTTAAGTGGGATAGGTCAGAACTGTGCAGTCCCCTTGCTGTGTTTTTTATAATAGTTATATGGACTCTGAGACTTGCTTTAAAGCTTTAAAAAAAAAAAAAAAAAAAAAAAAACTTTCCAAGCCTGGACTGGAGAGCTGGCTTAGCAGTTAAGAGCACTGGCTGTTTCTTGCAAAGGACCCCAGTTCAGTGCTGAGCACCTACATGGCAAGTTACACTCCACTCCAACACCCTCTCCTGGCCTTCAGAAGCACAAGTCATACATGCAGCTTACAAGACATACACACAGGCAGAACATTCATGGACATAAAAGTAATTCTTTTTAAAAAATTTACTAGGCCTGGTTGGGCATGGGCCTTTAATCCCAGTTACTCAGGAGGCTGAGGCAGGAGGAACTCAATCAAGTTCAGAACTTACTTAAGCAACTTAGTGAGAAACTATCTTGAAATAAAATGTAAAAGAGGTTGAGGATATAGCTCAGTATAGAGCACTTACCCAGCATGCACCAGGCCCTGAGTTTAATTCCCAGCAAAACACATATGCACACGGACAACTTGGATATATTCAGACTACTTATATCCTAACCACTTCTCTGAATCCTTCAGGTCTGCTGGGAACTAATACAATGCAAAGATGCTGTGTTTGATCTTGTAGGAACCTGTAACATTTGAGGATGTGTCTGTGAACTTTACCAGAGGAGAGTGGAAGATGCTGGAGCCATCTCAAAGGGAGCTATATAAGGAAGTGCTACTGGAAAACTTAAGGAACCTGGAATTTTTGGGTAAGACATCTTCTCTTCATGATCTAGCATCTAAGAGGGCAGATGCTTCAGCCCGTTATCTTATCTGAAAGGTAAATGACATGTGACTGTTTTAACCATATCTGCTTGGCACCCAGGACATGCCATAACTATTCCTAAAAGGGGGCTGTCTGTGAGATTTCCTCCTAAAAAAGTTTTTGCTTCATTGCATTGGAAACATGGGACATCATTTTGTTGTTCTCAGTATCATGCCTTCCCCTCCTTCCTCCTTGGATTCCTCCTCTGTATTTGATGATGTCTTTGTCTTCCTTAGAGAAACAGGCTAACTATGAAGGCTAGGTCATCTTTGTTCTATGTGTAAACTATAACTTTCTATTCTTTTCTCTGAATAGGCCTTCCGGTTTCCAAAGTTGATTTGATTTCTCAGCTGAAGTGGGTTAAATTGCCTAGGGCACTGGAAAAAGAAATCTCAAAAGGTCCCAGACCAGGTGAGTTGGTAAAAGGTAAGAAGGAAATGAAAACCATGGGAAAAAATCTTTGAAATTCTGGGTGGACCTAATGCTAGAATATAAAGCTGACTGATTAGAAGAGAGACTTCATCTTCCTGGAATGTTCATTTTAATGGGGACACTATTGGTTGGGGTCCTCCAAAAAAGTAGATACCAAGATGTGACTCCCCAAACTGGAGATTTGTTGGGAGAAATCAAGAGAAGAAAAATGGAGAAGGAGTGTGGATTAGTGGGAGAGCACAGGGCAGGTGCAGCCTCTGATTAAGGAAGAAGGAAGGAGATTGGGGACGAAGGATTTTAGGTTGAAGATGTTTGTAAAGCTTAGGCAAGGCCTAAGAGGAGGCCTGGGGCAACAATCGTGAGAGGGGTTCCACATCTCACAGAAGTGGTCCTGGAGTGTCTGTGTACGTCACTGTTGACAGTGAGAGGCTGTGTGACAGTGGCCCTGATGTGAACAGCGCGGCAGGGGTGGGCAGGCAGTCTCCCCACAGAAGATCTGAGAAGTATCTTATTATGGATACTTAAAAGACCAATTATCAAAATGAGTGTGTTAGTGACATAATGCAGGCCACAAGAATGGCACATAAAAGGAACCATGGAAGTCTGTGGGATCATAGACCAGACTCACAATGGCTTGGTATAGTATTCTCTTTTTACTTTAATAATGCAAAATGATACATATTCAGTGGAAAGGATGCTTGACTAGCAGCGTGTGATCTGCTGCTCTTTTGTAAGGCTGGGCAGCAGCATCACCCATCATGATCACGATCAAATAACCTCATGCTTGAAGCCCCAAAGTATGTTGGGTATGTTGTGTATATTTTTACTTAGGGTATTTTCAACTTATGATGATTTACCAAAGCATAATTCCATTATAAATCAAGGAGCATCTTTATAAAGGAACAATAACTTAATTACCATTTGAACTTAATCTCTAAAGGTAAGTGGGAATTCAGCCAGTAAACATGTATAACAATTCCATTATTTTTTAAGTAAAATGTTCATCTGTCTAAATGCATAGGTTAAATATTTATGTATTTTTAACATCTGGGAAACATTTATGTTAGTATTTATGTTAGTTTTTAGTATGTTAACCTTCAAGGGATTAGGGTTTTTTCTTTTTCTCTGTATCTTCCTAAAATTTAAAAGTAACTATATTTAACATATAGTTTAAATATAAAAATGCCATTACATATATTAGTACCTTTATTTTTTTAGAAAATTGAATTTTCTAAAGCATTTATTTTAGTTAGCCTCTCAGCTGTTTCCATTATAATTACATAACTTTAAAAAATTGTTTTATTATGTTTAAGTAACAATTTAGAGATTAATCCCCAAAATGTGTGTTTGCACTGTTTTGCAGTACTGTACATGTTAAAAAGCCATTTACATGACGGGAAAGACAGACTTAATAGAGATAATTATTTAACTTACACAAGTTAATAATGAGCTAGCTGTATTTTAATTTAAAACAAATGAACAAATAACTTGAGCAGATAACTGACAAAACTGAAAATGTTGGGGGCTGGAGAGATGGCTCAGAGGTTAAGAGCACTGACTGCTCTTCCAGAGGTCCTGAGTTCAATTCCCAGCAACCACATGGTGGCTCACAACCATCCATTATGAGATCTTGTGCCCTCTTCTGGTGTGCAGATATACATGGAAGCACAATGTTCTATACATAATAAATAAATAAAATCTTTTTAAAAAAAACCCTGAAAATGTTAACGGCTTGTGAACATGAAAAAGTTCAGACTTTTTCAGTAAATTATATAGGATGGATTATCATGCAACTGATTAAAAATACTATTTTCAGCTGGGCGGTGGTGGCATATGCCTTTAATCTGAGCACTCGAGAAGCAGAGGCAGGTTAATCCCTGTGAGTTCAAGGCCATCCTGGTCTATAAATTGAATTCTAGGACAGTCAGAGCTGTTACACAAAGAAACCCTGTCTTAAAAAAAATCATTTTCAAAATTTACCAATGATCTTGGAAATATAGAAGAAAAATAACATACATGTTAATTTTTTTCTATTCTAAACTGTATGGAAAACTTACATAACTTGTGAATAATAGGAATTTGAGTTTTATAATGGTCTATTAAGACAATTAGGACTGGGCGGTAGTGGTGCACACCTGTAATATTCAAGCACTCAGGAAACAGAGGCAGGTGGATCTCTGAGTTTGAGGCCAGCCTGATCTACAGAGTTTGTTCCAGGACAGCCAAGGCTACACAGAGAAACCCTGTCTCAAAAACAACAAAACAAAAGAACCAATTAGGAAGATAAGTATGTGGTCTTTTTTCCCCCTCTTTGGTTTTTGAGACAGGGTTTCTCTGTGTAGCTATGACTGTCCTTGAACTGGCTCTGTACACCAAGCTGGCCTTGACTCAGAGATCACCTGCCTCTGCCTCCGCAGTGGTAAGATTAAAGGTGGGCGTCACCACTGCCCAACTGATTATGTGATTTTTTTTAATGATTAAAAACCAGGATGGGGCTGGGGAGATGTCTTAATGGGTGAAATGCTTGTTATGCAAACATGGAAACCCAGGCTAGAATCTCCAGGACCCATGTAAAGGCTAAGCATGGACTTTGTGCCTATAATCACAGCCTTGCAATAGATACTGGTAGATTTTAGGCTGCTGTTGTCCAGCCAGACTAGCTGAATCAGCCAGCTACTGGTTCAATAAAAAAACCTGTATTTTTTTTAAGTACAGTGAATGGGCGGTGTTGGTACAAGCCTTTAACCCCAGCACTTGGGGAGGCAGAGACAGGTGGATCTCTGGGTTCAAGGACAGCCAGGCCTACAGAGTTCAAGACAGTCAGGACTACAAAGAGAAACCCTGTCTCAGGGTGGGGGAGAGAGGAGAATAATAGAATATACTCAAGATCCTCTCACATTCATACACACTCCAAGAGGAACACTAAATAACGGGGAAAGCCAGAGTGAATAATATGCTTAATAAATTAATTAAAAGTTCTAAGAAAAACACAATATATAGTTTGGGAGAAAGCTCCATGTTAATTACCAGACTTTGAACCCATGAGCCCATCAGATTTATTAATGCACTGGGGCACTGCATTTTAGGTATTAGGTTTTAAGATTCAAAGAATGGGATTAAAAGGGCAGTGATCTGGGAAGAAAAATAAATAGATGTCTGATTAAAATGTCTTCAGGAGGGCTGGAGAGATGGCTCAGTGGTTAAGAGCACTGGCTGCTCTTCCAGAGGACCTGGGTAAAATTTCCAGTACCCATATGGCAGCTTACTACTGTCTGTAATTGCAACTCCAGGAGTTCTGACAACTTCACACAAGCACACTTACAGACAAAAGCACCAATGCACTTAAAATGAAAAATAAAATAAACAATTAAAAAATAAAAATATTGTCTTCAGGATTGATAGGGCCAGTTCATGGTAATATTTAAAAACGTGTCATGGGTGATACTGCATGTTGGTGAAGTGATTGGGATTTTCTATAAAATTAATGCTTTTTGTCTGTTTTGAGGAGTGGCTGTATAATATAGGGATCAAACAGATGGACTGTGATGTCAAATTAAAATAAGGCTTTAGGGTCTAGAGAGATGGAAGGTTCAGCAGTTAAGAGGACTAACTGTCCTTCCAGAGAAACTGGGTTCCCAGCACCCACACGAAAGCTCACAGCCATATGTAACTCTAGTTTTCTGGACTCTACAAGCACAGCACCTATGTAATGCACAGATACATGCAGGCAGAACACTTGTGCAAAATAAAAATAAGAAGTATTTAAAATCTGGCTTTTACCAATTACAATATATGTGACTTTGGGTAAGCTTCTGACACTCTGTGTGCCCCATTGTGATGTCCATAAAAAAAAGATGAATTTCATCAGGTTGTTGTAAGGATTAGTAAACCTATGCAAATAAAGTGTTTATTGTGGAACTGGACATTGGCTTAGTATATAAAGATGAAGTTTGGTTATAGAGAGAGTAAATAGGTTTGACACTGGTACAGAAATTGGAAAGAGTGAAAACCTAAAATTTTCTCCACATAAAGCACAAGCTTTTCATTTTCCACAATATTTTCCTAGCCTCTATGTTCATCTTACTTTCCAATATTGCTTATCTTTTGGCTATTTAATAAAGCTGTAATTGATAGCTAAGCCATATCTCTTAAAACTTATTAGTGTTCCTATGTCAGTCCCAAATATAGCAGCTTCCTTTATTGCAAAATGGGAAATACTTGCTTTGTTATCTGTTTTAGAGGATGAGTCTAGAAGTGAATTGGATGCTTTTATGGAAGACTTCACTTTAGAGAAAACAGTAGAATACTGCTTCAGTGATGATGGTTATGGCTTGAAGGCAGAATTCCAGAAACGACATGGCAAATCCAAGAAAGATCATAGCAAGCAGAGTAGCCATGAGAGAAAAGATTCTGACTCAAAGGAGACTCCCTCTGGAAAGAATTTCAAACAAACTTCAGACACAGTCAAACATCGGAAAACCTACTTAACAAAGATGTCTCACAGGTCTAAGGAAGGCAAGAAACCCTTCAGTTTTCATTCATATCTTGTGAGCCGCAAAGAACACAGTACAGAAAAGTCAAGGAAAGGCAGTGGAAATGAGAAAGACTCACGTCACTCTTCATCTCTTACTGCACATAAGAGAAATCCAAGAATTGGTTCATTCAGTAAGACTCAGAAGTGTTCTAAGTGTGGGGTAGCCTTTACTCAAAGCTCATGGTATTGTAGTAAAAGCTCTCAATGTGAAAAGTGCCGGAAGAATTTATTTCAAGGTGAAACCTCAAATAAAGACAAAGAACCTGAAGTTAAAGAACCCAGTAAGTGTAGGAAATGTGGAAAATCGCTTGGGTACAGTTCACAACGCTCTCTGTGTACTGAATGTAGAAAAGCTCACACAGCTAGTTCATCACATAAACCACATAAAAAAACGGACAAAAAAGAAAAGCCTTACAAGTGTGATGAATGTGGAAAAAGTTTTGCTGTTGGGCAAGCTTTCGATAAGCATCAAAGAACTCATACTGGAGAAAAGCCCTATGAATGTAAACACTGTGGGAGATCCTTCAGTGACAGCTCATCATTTTATCAACACCAGAGAATTCATACTGGAGAGAAACCATACAAGTGTAACGAGTGTGGGAAATCCTTCACTCATAGCTCCTCTCTCTCAAAACATCAGAGGATACACACTGGAGAGAAGCCCTATAAGTGTAACGAGTGTGGGAAATCCTTCAGACAGAATTCTTGCCTTACCCGACATCAGAGAACCCACACTGGAGAAAAACCATATGTTTGTAAGGATTGTGGATCATCTTTTAGCCTTTTTAGTACTATCATCTATCATCAAAGACTTCATGCAGGAGAAAAACCCTACAAATGTACCGACTGTGATAAAGCCTTCCCTACTCATTCCCGCCTAGCCCGTCATTTGAGATGTCACACTGGTGCAAAACCATACAAATGTGAAGAATGTGGGAAAACTTTCAGACAGAGTTCATCTCTTAATTTACATATCCGAAGTCATACTGGAGAGAAACCCTACAAATGTGATTATTGTGGAGCAACCTTTTCTCGGAGCACAATTCTTGTTGAACATGTGAAAATTCATACTATGTATCAGTGTAAAAAATGTGGCAAGAAATTTAAAAGTTGGTCAGCCAGTCATAAACATCACTGCACTGAGTAATTCTGGGAAAGTAGTAAATGGAGGGGAGATTAATTCCAAGTGTGCCCTTATTTTAAAATTTGACTTGTAAACTACCCACAGCATTGATTAGAAGCTTCAACTTCAATGGGTTAACAAAAGGAAACAAGCCTTTTCCCCTTTGGTCTCTCTTCTTGTGGGTGGTCAGTTTTGATTACAGTTGGTAAAGTTTTATTGACATGAAGAAAGCATGTAAAGTGAAATGATTCTGAAAAGACAAACTTACGTTTGAAAGACTTTCTTCAAGACTCTTTGGCTTCCCTTCCATGACCGTGAAATATAATGGAAAAGAACACAACTGAACTCTAATAACCTAGACTCTATCCCAGATGGTCAGCCAACCACTGTGTCATTCTAAACAAGTCATTTGGACCATCTGAATTTTAGTTTCTTACTAGTAAAGTGAAGAGATGGCATTAGATTTCTAGGTTTTCTTTTTAGTTGATATTCTGATACTGCAGAAAATAGTTTGAACATGTTTGATTTGTTGGAATTTTTATGTCTGGTAGATGCTTATTCTTTTAGGATAGTGGGCTTCTAGATTAGTGAGAATATGGAATACTTGATGTACCTAGAATGTGATAAACAGAACAAGTCAGGGAAGTTTATCGAAGTTTGCTTTTCAGGGAATGTTCAGATTTGCACAAATCACCTCAGTCTCCTTATCGTTTGAGTTTTGCCTCAGTAGATTGAGAATCCAGAGAGCTTGTACCCAAGCCAGCTCAGACATGAAAGTAACAGTCAGAGGAGAAAAACTAAAACCAGCTGTTTGGGGTGGATTATTCCCCCTCCAGCGAACACAGCCTCCTGTGCCAAAGAATTTTGTATGGCACAAGATGCTACATTGAATCAGATTGGGTCATTATACATGTTTTAGTTGGTTTATAGGGTGGGGTATGTATGTACACACACAGCTTTCACTCTTTAGAAATAAGGAATTTTGTGTTTTAAAGAAAGAGTTTGTCATAAAAAGTGTGCAGGAGCTAACCCCATTAGCCTATTATGTCCATGGAGTGCCCAGCTGGTCCTGGGTGTGGTTGCCACTTGAAATGCCAGCTTTCTCTTCTACCTGGCCTTCTTACTGCAGCCTGTGATATTTTGTTACTCTGCCATTTAGATAATACATGCACTAAAATCTCACAAGACCCCCATTGAGAACAAGTAAAATTCAGGAAAATAACTCAGAAGTTGTACTTTATGTTTTCTTTTGTGAAATGAGACTTCATGGAATGAACTATACGGATACTGACAGGTTGATGAGATTGTAATTTCTAGCTGAGAAAGGAATTCAAGACACTGAATGGGTTAGTTTGGGTCTCGAATCATTAGATTACAAAGAAATAAGTTCCTGAAGTTGAAATTTGAGGCCATTCCTAGAGAGAGAACTAAAGCAGAACTCTGGTTTTACAAGGAGGAAGGTTCTCCAATGCTGGTCCACTCATGTGGGCTTAACAATTTTCAGAAATTATGTATTTTATTGAAATAATTAATGAGATATATAAAACAACTCTTGAGAAAGACGTCTGTCCCAGCGTGTTCCCCAAGAGGCTGTTTTTATCCCAGTCTCAGTTGGGGATTAGAAACAAAACATTTTATAAGCTTCATTAAAATATAGAACACATATGCTTAAAAACTAAGATGTACAATTCAGTGAGTTTTTGTCACGTCTACTGAAATGTGCATTCATTACCATAATCCATTTTTCAGAACATCACCCAAATAAGAGTACCTACTGGATACACCTATTTATACTTAATTCCCACTCTCATCTCTAACCCCAGGTAACCACTAACCTACTTCATATTTACAAAATGGCCTTTTCTAGTCATTTTATATTGGTCTTTGTTTCTCCAGTAGCATCATGTTTTTAAGCTTATGCATGTTATAGCTTATGTGATTTCTTTCTATTAAAATGTCATTTGTTGGTATTGTTTGTTGTTAAACGATAGTCTATCATATGGATACTTCATGCATTTACCTGTGAGAGGACATTCTCTTCTTTCTACCTGGGTGGTTGGCTGCTAGGAACAACACTGTGAATATAATGTGTAAGTCTGTGTAGACATTGTTTCCTTGGTAGACATCTATAGATAGAGTTTCTGGGTCATGTAAATTTTTGTTTAACTTTTTAGGAAACTGCCAAATTGCTTTCTAATGTGACTACATCATTTTAAATTCTAGCCACCAGTATGTGGGTGTCCCATTTTCTTTACATCCGTGCCAATCTTTAAAAATATCGTAGTCATCCTTGTGAAGTGGCATTTCTATATGTGTTTAATTTGCATTTCCCTGACCTCATGTCATCATGTGCCCATTACTCAGCCTTTCACATATCTCCTTAGAGTTATTTTTTAAATTCCTTATTATTTAAAAGTCAGGGTGGTTGAGTTATAACAAGTTCTTTATCTACATACAGTCCCTTATCCAATATGAACTTTCTGTCACTGTGTACTAGAAGGAAACTACAAATCCTACTGCAAAATATTTATCAATAACTAATAATTGTCTGAAAGGCATCCAGTTTGCCCTAGCACCCACATACTTAAATCTATTTTTAGATTGGCAGGTCATCTAAAGGCCCAGTTTGCCCTAGCACCCACATACTTAAATCTATTTTTAGATTGGCAGGGCATCTAAATATTTTAAATTTATGATCTATGACTTTTCATAGAATTTCTTTTTAAAGCCTTATTTAGCATTTTATTTGTTTATAGTGATAATAATTTCTAATCAGTTCTATGACACATTTTAAAACAAAGTCCTTGTTTTTTTAGAATGTTTTATAATTAGTTTCTATATAGAAATTTATTTCATGTCACGGGATAAGACAAAGTCCCTGTCAGTGAATTTACTTTTTACTTTAGAATTATTTTTGATGTAAAAATATATATATATACAAGTATATCATAAAATGAACCATTTTGATCGTTTTGGTTGAATAATTCTGTGGTGCACATTTGCAGTCGTCATTCATGCCCAGCACTGTTCCATCCTTCCACACTCAACCCATTGAAAATTAATTCTCCATTTTCTTCTCTCCCAAGCTCCTGGTTGTCACAATTCTTCTTCCTTTCCACGTCTGACTTGTTTGTCCCTCTCATTAATAATGATACAGTGTGTGTCTTTCTGTGTCTGGCTTATCTCACTTGGCGTGTGATATTTGCAGGCATTCAGGGAAGTCTTCAGTTGGATTTTCTAGCACAGGAAATCTTAAACTCTTGTGTCATCCAGGTAACATTGATTTAAAAAAAAAAAAAAGAACACAGATCATTACATGTATTCTGTCTCATTGGCTCCATAACCTAGTCACCTACCTGCACATGTACACCGAAGAACTGGAGAATATACACCTGACTCCTAGAGGGGTCTGCTTTCAAAAACTGAGTAAGAACACTCACAGCATGAATCTACACTGTAATGAAACAATGAGGGAAAAGCTATCTCTTGCTTTAAAATGACGACCTACTTGGTCTTTCAACTCAGCTACAATTTTATCTCCTTGATAGAAACTAGTCTTTCTGTTTAGCTGCCATTCCCTCACAGATGAAACAATGTTTAATAAATCAGAAGTTTGAGATTTCAGGCAATGAATTGGCTTCTCTTTGTAATCTGGGTGTTCTTTGAAACAATATAATCAAGGTTTTCCTTGTGCAGTGTCTTAATATGGATCATCTAAAACTAAAAAATACTTGAAATTTTTCAAATTTTCAGCCAATTGATTTTTGAAAATAGAAATGTATATATTCTGTGAGAAATATTGCTCGTGTTTACCCTGAGCAGAATTGCTAAATGGTGTAGTGTTTTCTGTTTTTGTGGGTATTTTTCAAACTGTCATTTTTTTCCAGTTTTTGAGTGAATTATAATAGTTGGATTTACTTTTATGTACACATGGTTCAGTTTGTACGTGTGTGCATGTGCTAGAGTCAAGCTGCTGTGTAGCTGGCACGCTTGTAATCCAAAACCTGTGAAAAAGTTGTTAAAGGTATTTGGTTAGAAATTTAGATTTCCTTTAGCTGGGTTTTGTGGCTTTTTAAAACTAAGTTGTTGAAAAGAGATATAGATCTGAAATATCGTCTTCAGTATTGCCTACTGTGTTATCTTCAATACTTGAACTTGGTAGCTTTTGTGTCCGCTGCTGCTGTGAATTATAACTGGCATTTGTCAGTGGCTGTGCACTGGACCCTCTCTTAGTCCCTTCTTTCCCTAATGTGCCACTTGCAGTAAGAGCTTCTATGTCTGCACTGAATTCTGCCTTAGAAATATGCCTTTGACTAAACTTTAAATATTTTTCCATGTATTTTTACCTGTAGGATAATCACAATTCCAATAAGAAGCACTTGGATTTATGGTTATAAATTATACATGTAATGCTCTAACCTGTGCTATCTGCATAATATGTTGACGTAATCCATTATGATATTCCATCTGTGCAGAGACAACTATCATCTGTTGGTTTATCAATGCTGACTAGATTGGTGACATATTTGTGTGTCACTGAAAAATGCACGCTCCTCTACAATGCTAACAGTGTCCTGTGCAGTGCAGTAAAGTGAATCATAGTTCTAAAACAATAAAGTTGTATTTAATACAGAATACATCCTGCCTTGGGTTTTGTTTGTTTGGTTGTTTGATTGGTTTTAAATTTTTCTCTTTCTTTTTTTTATCTTGTTACTTTTTTTATTTTTTTTTTGAGATGGGGTTTCTCTGTGCAGCTTTGTAGACCAGTCTAGCCTGGAACTCACAGAGATCAGCCTGCCTCAGCTTCCCAAGTGCTGGGATGAAAGGCATGCACTACCACCTCCACCTTCTGGCTCTGGTTTTGTATTTTTCAAGACAGGGTTTCTCTGTGTAACTGCCCTGGCTGTTCTGGAACTAGCTCTGTAGACCAGGCTGGTCTTAAACTCACAAAGATCTGCCTGCCTCTGCCTTCTGAGTGCTGGAATCAGAGCCATGCTCTACCACCACCCAGCCCTGCTTTGGTTTTTAACTTTTTTAGATTTTTAAAATGTATTTGTGTGTATGGACATACCTGTGATGCCATGTGTATAGAAGCAAGAAAACAGTTATGAGAGTTGATTCTCTCCCTCCACCATGTGCCTTGGGTTGTCGGCCATGGAAGCAGGTCCCCTTACCTGCTAATCCATCTCATTAGCCCTAGATTTTAATTTTTTGAAATAACTGTCATGTGTATCTCCAGTTATCAGTAGCCTCCACTAGTTACCAAATTAGACAGTAGAGTTGGAGAAAAAAATATTTTTATTGTTATTTATTTCTTTTTGTCTTTACATCCCAATCAAAATTTCCCCTCTTCCCAGTTCCTTCCTCCCCTCTACTCTCTCCCAACCCTGTCCACTCCTCCATTGTTTCTCTTCAGATACAGGCAGGTCTCTCATGGATATAAGCCAGTCATGGTATATCAAGTTGTAGTGAAACTGGGCACCTCCTCTTCTATTAAGGCAATCTAGTAGGAGGAAAGGGTCTCAAAAGCAGGCAACAGAGTCAGAGACAGCCCCTGTTCTCACTGATAGGAGTCTCACAGGAAGACCTGATGGGGGATGTCCTTCTGTATGTTGTGAACATATGTTTCTCTTATTGTTTGATGAATAAAATTGTTTCAACCAATGGACAGGCAGGATGTGGCCTGGTAGGAAGTATAGGTGGGGCTGCCAGACTAGGAGAATTCTGGGAAGAGGAACACAGAGAGTGAGTCGCCAGCAAGATACCATGTAGCTGTCAAGGAAGCAAGAGGTCTGGGCATCACTGGGTAAGCCAAGAGCTCATGGAGATACACAGATTAATAGATATGGCTTAATAATCAACAAAGAGCTATCCAATAAGCCTGAGTCATCTACCAGTTTATGATTAACATAAGCCTCAGTGTGTTTATTTGGTACTGAAGGGCAGTGAGACTAGGCAGACAGAAACTCTGTCTTCAAAGACCAAGTTATGCAACTGTAACATATTCAGAGTCGGTCCCATGCAGGTTCCCTGGTTGCTGGTAAAGTCTGTGAGCCTCTGGGAGCCCTGGTGGGTTGTCTTATGGTACCCTTGAGATGACTGGGTCCTACAATCCTTCCTTCCCCTCTTCCATAGAATTCCCTGAGTTCTGGCTGTGGGCCTCTGCATCTGTTTTCATCAGTTGCTGGATGAAGCCTCTCTGATGATAGTTGGACTAGGCATCGATCTATGAGTATAGCAGAATATCATTAGGAATCATTTCACTGATCTTTTTAATGGCCATTCATGTATACAAGCCAGAGAAGGCAACAAGCCACTGTAGCTTGGTTCAGTCAAGAATGATTTCCCAGGCTGACCTTCAGTATGTTACTGCTTTGCAACATTTTGCAGCGGTTCCCACCAAGTTCCGAGAGGGGAGGAAAGGGAGAGATACAATGCCTAATGCTTTTTACCTCTGACCTAGTTCTGCAACCTGCTCACCTTAGTCCTGGAAACCTGACTGGGGAGGGGAGCGACTGAAGAATGAGATGAACACAGAAAAGCTGGAGTCAGGTGGTCATGCTCCCTCTGCTGGAGCACCACCAACTACCACAACACCTCAGCATGTTTATAATGTACAGCTTAGTGGGAAGAGCTTAGCTAGCCTCAATAGCAAGTCTCTAGGTCACCAGTCTCTGGTTGCCCTCATGCGGCAGGAGGAAGCAGCAATTGCTAGTGTTTGCACACACTGGTCAATAATTCATAAACATTGTACTTACACAGATTGTCACCATTTGCACTTGGACCAGAGAAAGGCTTTGCCATACCTCTAAACCTCACCAGGGAAAGCTTTGCCACTCTACTGGGTCTGAAGCACTTCGGTCCTTGACAAGGCCATGCCCATTAGGACAATAAACATTCAAGACTTCATCTGCACTTTCTACATTCAATCTAGTCTTCCTCAGCTCTCCACTAGAAACAGCTTAGAGCCAATGGCCATATCTAGGTGACAAGGTACTCCAGGACACTACCAGTGTCCCAGGATGCTTTTAAAGTCAAAAGTCTATTTTGGTTTTAAATTTTCACAGTTGTTAAATATAACTTTCATATATTTTAATTAAAATAGAATTGCATTACTTTCCCCTTCCTTTCTTCCAACCTCACAGTTGTTTTCCTCTATCTCTCCCTACCTTATTCCTTGAGACAGGGTTATCACTGAATCTAGAGCTTGCTGATACTGCTAGTCTGGTTAGCTGGCTTGCTGGGGATTTCATGTCTCTACCCCTGCATGCTGGGATTACACATGGGCCAACATGCCTACCTGGATTTTCAGTAGGGTCTGGGGATCCAAGTTTTCACAGTTGGACTAACAGCAGTCTACCCACTAAGCATCTCCCCACTTCATAAAGCATTTATTCAACAGTAAGAAACTCTAGTTCTATTGATCAAACCTATATGGAACAGTCTCATGTCACCACTACTCCCTCTCATGCAAGTGCTCCTCATTCCCCTCCAGCTAAGACTTCCTCTTCTGTGACTACTTCTACTACTCTACTTCCTATGTTGCTGTTTTCCTTGCCTTGTTTATCTCCCACAGCCCCCACACGGCCCTGAAGCCACACAGTAGCTCTACTGTGGGTCTGACCTCCATATCAGCTGTGTCGGGCACTTCTTCAACCTGCCTGGGATCCAACTGCCTATACCAGGTCCTTCATTCTCCTGTGGACACTATCCTCATCCTCCTTGAGACATCTCCTGCTGGGACACCCTAAGGGTGACACTCTGCATAGGCTGCCTGACCTCTGACTAGGCTGTTCTTTGGTACCACACTCTCCTTGTTCTGCTGTCTTTGAGTCCTCACATTAGGCCATCCTCATTCTGTTCACTTTGCTTAGGATTCCAAGTCTTTTCACTAAGCCACAATTCACTCCCAGTACATCCCACTCCACTCTGATTTCATATGCCAGGCAACTGACCTCCATCAATCAGTGCAGTCTGCTCTGGGCCATGGGGGCTTCTCCAGTTGCAGGCAGGCAACTGTTGTGCCAACTCTTGTCTTTAGGACCAAATGGTTTGATAAGAGAAGATAAAGCCAGATGTGGTGGCAAAGGCCTTTAATCCCAGAACTTGGGTAGAGGCAGGCAGATCTCTGAATTCAAGGCCAGCCTGGTCTACAAAGTAAGTTCTAGGACAGCCAGGGCTACCAGAGAAACTCAGTCCCGAAAATCCAAAGAAAGAAGGGGGGAGGGGCACAAAGCAAGGGATTTTAGTTTTTAATTGTGTTTGTCAGAAAAATTTCCCAGAATATTCACTATTTAAAAAGTACCATTGTACAATGTAAAGTCTGTCTCTTACCCTGTCTAACACGCCTCGGTTCCAGCTGTCGTGATTGACAGATTCCTTCTTTGGTCTGGTATATGGCCTTAGCCTCACCAGCACACCAGTATATGCTGGCACTGAGACCTCCAGATATCAGCAATGTGTTGTTGTTTTGTTTTATTTTGTTTTTCTTCTAGTATCATTATAAGCAATTGGGGTGGAAATCTTATGCCTTCAAATTCACCAATTTCTGCACTGAGTTAGGTCACTTTAAGCTTTTGGACACTGTCCTAGTTAGCTTTAACTTTCATCTTGGCACAAAACACCTGTAGAGAGCCTCAAATGGAGAACTGCTTCAATCAGACTGGCCTGTGGACAGGTCTGTATAGGACTGTCTTTATTACTAATTGATGTAGGAGGCTAAGCCCACTATGGGAGGTACCATTTCCTAGGCAGGTAATTATGGACTATATGAGAAGGTTAACTGAGCACCAGGCTGCATGAGCTAGCTAGCAAGCAGTGTTCCACCATAGCTTCTGCTGTATGTCCATGGCTATGAGTTCCCTGGTGAGAGGCAATGCTAATGGAATACAAAGCAGGCCTACCTACAAGTTCCTCCCCTAATTTCTTGCAATGATGGACTATGACCAGAAAGTGTAAGCCAAGTAAACCCTTTCCTCCTCTAAATTGCTTTCATCACAGCAACAGAAGTGAAATTAGAACACACACCAAAGCCATTATTTCTTATAATCACCTAAGAGAAGCTGAAGAAGGCAGAAACATGCCTGCTTGTTGTTTGTCAGGAGACTTTCATTCTCTTATCACAGATTAAAACTAAAAATTACACATAGATTTTATTAGATAGGTCAAATCCCTTGCTGTTATTTCTTATATAAGGCAGTATACATTTGTACCAAATGTTAAAAAAGAAAAAAGCTAATCTTCCAGTGATGATGCACATGTCATTTTTTTCATGCTTTCACTATGGCCTTCCCCAGATTTTCTCCTTTCAACATCCCCATGAACGCTGCTGGCATCTTTTCAAATCCTTCAAGCATATATTCGTGATACTGGATTTTACCCTGCATCAAAACAATAATTATAGGTTGATTTAGTTTTTCTAAATGACATTTTCTTCTCATCTTAGCAACAAATTTATCAGGTAGACCATGAGAACCTTTAAAGTCTGAGATGTAGGCCCTCTTATCCATGAACACCAAGATCTATGGACAGAGTGCGTACAACACAATTACAGTGTAATAACAAACAGGCAACAATTAAGCAATTCCTAAGTACACTGCACAGACACGTTTAACAATGTGATGATCTCAGAAGAGATGAAAGCAGAAGGTACACTCTCAACAGATGCTGTTTTCGTCACATCTGGTAGCCAAAGGATAGGAAACATTACACGTCAAGTAAGACCAGAAGAGGTAGGGCCTTTTTGGGAAACGTAAATACCATGGAACTTACACTTTGTTCTCCCGTCTAACCAAGGTTCATTCTGCATGTTACTAGTTACTTAGAGAGGGAGGGAGGAAGGGTTCATATCAGAGAAGATTTTTCATGTACTTTACATGTTCAAGGATTGTTTGGTTCTGTTAAGACAGGGTTTAGCTATTATAGTCCATGTTGGCCTTGAACTCTTGTCCTTATACTTCCTTAGATTACAGCCATATACCACTACACTAGCTTTAGGGCTTTTGTTTTTAAAAGGGGTTTTGTGTATAAACCCAAGCTACCTGATAACACTTTTTCATGATATAGTCCAGTGATGGCTGAATACTCTTTATAGTCTTATGGACACACACCATGTGCTTGAGGTCACTCAAAAAGCACAGAAATTAGAATTTGGATCCCTGACTTGAAAATCCTAGCCCATTCCAACCCTTAAAAGGACAGAGACCTTGCATAGGATAGAAAGCTAAAATCTTGTGTAATGATTGAAAGTACTGAACGGATATTGATGTGGACAGAACCTACTGCTGAAGTCCTAAATTTCTCAGTGCCTCAGAATACAAGTATCTTCTAAGACCGGGCCTTTAAAGACATAATTAAATTATAAGGAGGTCACATGAGTATGCCATAATCAAGCAGGACTGGTATTCCTTTCTAGACTAAGGCAGGCACACCCAGAGAAGTCCACAAGAAGATGTAGGAGGAAAAAACTTCTGAAGAAACAAGACCGCTGCTACTCTGATCTCAAGTGAGTAGCCTCTAGAACTTCAAGAAAATAAATCTCTGCTGTTTTAAGCCACCCATCCTGTGCTACTCTGTGGTGTTAGCCCTAGAAAACTAATGCAAACACTAGTGGGAATTTTAATAATAGGGAAAAATTAAGGTACAACATGAGGGTATATGAGAGCTTCTTATACTGTCTTCCCAATTTTTTCTTATCAATTAGTAATTGTGTTAAAATAAAAAGTATATATTTTTTAAGTTAGGGCTCTCTCTCAGTGAGGGAAAATATTTGCTTGGAGTTTATGAAGCCTTTGGACTGAGTCCCAGCATTGGGCTGGGGAGTAAGGGGTTGGGGCAGGAAACAAAGAGGTGGATTAGAAAGAAATTAAGACAGCTCAACTTCATTTAGCAAGAAAGACAAAGCAGTGAGGAAATGGGACTGATCCACTCCAGCAAACACTCCCCACAGCCAAGTGGTACCAAGAGTCCACCTTAGACTTCTCAGTGAGAAAGACATTAGTGACTTTGACAAAAGCAGTTTTGGTGGAATGGGATTAGGGTAAAAGCCTGATATGCAGGTCTAAAAAAGAATAGAAAGCAAAAAAAAAAGAAAGAAGGAATGGAGGGAGGAAAGAAAGAAAGAAAAGAAAGAAAGAAGGAAGGAAGGAGAGAGCCAGGTGGCAGTGGCATATCCCTTTGATATCCCAGCACTTGGGAGGCAGAGACAGGCAAATCTCTGTGAGTTCAAGGCCAGCCTGGTCTACAAAGGGAGTTCCAGGACAGCCAGAGTGGTTAAACAAAGAAACCCTGAATCAAGAAAAGAAAAGAAAAACAAAAAGAAAGAAAGAAAGAAAGAAAGAAAGAAAGAAAGAAAGAAAGAAAGAAAGAAACTATATGGGAAAATATCGATAATACCACCTCTAGGTATTAGATGGGTTTGAACAGCAATGAAATTCAGAGAGGCTATGGACACAGTGGTGCAGGTCTGTAACTTTAGCATTCAGGGTGCTGAGAAAACAATACCATGAGTTTGAGATTAGCCTGGGATACACAGTGACACACTGATCTCATTACTGCCTTCACCCCCAACCCCCAATCAAGAAACTTAAAGAAATTTGTTTTCTGATTTAAGATGAGGAAAGAATGTTTATATCTGAAAACACTGATCCAACAGACAAGGAGAAGCAATGCAGCAGAAAAGGGAAGAACTGAAGGACTGAGTTGCTGGTGGGCAGTGGGAGTGGCTGGGGCCCCTTACCTCTGAGACCCAATTCATCAAGTCTGTCAGAGCCTTCTGGCGGACATCTCCCTGCCAGCGAGTAACGATGAACCCCTCCATACGGAGCTGCTGATAAATAACGACCTCTGGGGGTGGGCCTGGAAAAGGAGGATTTGTTTGTGTGACAGGGTCCAGGGACATGTCCACAGTGAGACTCACTGTCGAGGTTCTCCAAGCCCCCCCTTCTGTTTCCTCCACTCCTTTCTGATCCACAGGGCTATTGTCTACCACCACTAACTGTGCAGTGGGAAGAATGATGGCCAAGACATCTACTCCCCAAACCCCAGAGTCTGTGAGTATATTACTCTCCACGGTGAAAAAGAGAGCAGGGAGGGAAAGGCTGCACTGGTTGCCTGGGAGCCAGCAGCTGAGAGCATGATGGGAGTCACACACTCTCCAAGAGTCAACGGAAGTGTGCTTAAGGAATGGCATGGTTGGAAGAACAGAACCAATGCATCTTTGGCATCTTGGACAACTGGTGTCACTCATGGCTGAAGTCTCCACTCACTACTTTGAACAAAGTTCCATGTGTAGTCAGGGAATGGAGCCTTGTCTTGAACCAATAGAAACTGGCACATGATAAGTGGTATGTAAATGCTAGATGTGCCTCAGAATAAATACATTAAGTCATAATGAATCCATGCTCAGACCACTTCTGCAGCATGTCACTTCTTCAAAGGGCCCATGGCAACCTTAATTCCTTTTGAGTTAAAGGTTCAACCAGGGCTAGGGTGATGGCTTAGTCAATAAAATGCTTGCCATTCAGGTATGAGAACACGAGTTCAGAACCCTGGCACCCATGTAAGCACCAAGCACAGCAATTCAAATATGGAACTCTAGATAGAAGGATCCCTTGAACTCATTGGCTAGCCATCTAGGTGAACTGATGGACTCCAGCTTCAGTGAGAGACAATAGTCTCAAAAAATAAAATGGAGAGCAATTGGAAAGATCCCTAAGGTTGACCTATGACCTCCATATATACCCACACACACACACCTGCACATGCCACTCTCATAGGTGGGAACCTTTATTTCCTCATCTTGGAAGAGGTTGGAATACTTCTACTGAGGTAATCACCCAACAGGAACGTTGGTTTCATTTTTTTTTAGTTCAACAAAGCAAATATGGCTATAAGTTGGTGGACATACTGACTTGTCTGAGCTATAATGATACTATAATGTGCTAGAATTTCTGGGCCTCAGAAGTAAGGCAGAATCCCATCTGATTAAAGCAGACAAAGTCAGCTACCATCTCTAAGATCTATATGAGTATTGGAAATTCCAAAGACTAATTGCTAAAAAGACTAGGTCAAATTACTATATCCAGAAATAATTTGGTGTACCTATTTAGACCTGATGTGAGGAGTTGGAACACTGGGCTTTGTTTTGTGTCAGTCATTCATCTTGAGGCAGAGGCCTGCACAAGATCTCTCACAGCCCAGAGGCAGGGAATATAGGGATCTCTGTTGACATTGCTTTTGGACCTCTGGGAGTATAAAGGAGAGAGAAGGGTGATTTCAGCATAGGAAAGTGCAGAAGAGAGAAATGAAGAGCACAAGAGAAATAAAAGAGGCCATTCAGGGTATGTGTGGCAAGAAGGCGGGCAGCCACACCCCTTTCTCTTTTAGGGGAAACTGTCAGGCCCCATCAAGCACAGATGCTTGCTGTTCTAGGAGGTACAGCCCACACCTGTGAAGACACAACAGCCGTCCCCACCCCATCCCCATATCTGTGAATCTTCCTTTTGTCCATTCCTCCTACATTCAAAAGCACAATACCTTGGGGACATGGACCAGTACGGTTGTACTGAGAGATGGCTCCACAGATGGCAATTCTTCCAAATGTCTTCATCTGGGATATAACAGTGTTTGAAAACTCTCCACCTACCTAAGTAGACAGCCAAAAACAAAACAAAACAAAACACTTTAAATAATTTTTAAAATCCATTTAGGAGAATCCATAAAATTGATTAAACCAGTACAGCAGTTGTAATGATTGAAATATCAGAAATGGACATTTCCAGGAGGCAGAGGCAGGAGGATCAATAATAAATATTTTATTTTTGAGGTTATTCTCAGATACTTAATGAGTGTGAGGCCAGCCTGGGTTATATGATGATTTGCAAAGAAGGAACATTTTCATTTGATATTAGGAACAAACTTTACATAGCATAAAGCTAGTATGTTTAAAAGAATCTTCTTCATAGCCCAGTAGTCTCATTGTCCTAGAATCTAAAGGTTCATAAAAATACTTAAAAGGCATTTGAGGAACAAAGCTACATGACTCACACTTTTAAATTTCTAAATATACTGCAAAGCTCAAATAAAACAACCAGAAAAATAGAATATAGGTCAGTGGAGCCAAACTGAATCCAAAGGGAACCTTACATTTACTATCAATTGGTTTTCCACATGAATGAATGCCAAGACAGTTGATAAGGGGAAAAGCCTCAATGACTGGTGCAGAACTACATATCCACATGGAAAAGATCAGAAGTGGCTCTCCTAAACTACACACACAGGCGATTGAATATGCAATACAGACAAGACAGGAGTGTCAGAACTAACATCTAAACTCTAAGAAGCAAAGGAACAAGTATTCAGTGACCCCGAGAAGGCAACATTCCCAGACAGCACAGCAAATGCCCAATCAACCAAGGAAGTAATTAAAACACCTGTGTTTCTAAGGATACTATCCAGAGAATGAAGACAGCTCATAGAGCTGGAGAAAATTTCTGAAAACCATATACAGACAATCTTCATTCTCACAGGATCCCATATCTGTGAACCATATTACTTGCTAAGACTCATCTGTGTCTTCACAATAGGTCCCAGGTCATTTGCAGACACAGGCAGTCCCAGCAGAGACTGAACAAGCAAGGTGACACTCTGCCTCCCTGTCAAAGAGAGATGACCAGAGGATGAGGGCAATGGAGCTCTGACTTTGCGGAATGGAGTGGAGAATGGATGTCAACTTTGAGATTCTAAGGAAAAGTTACTTAAGACTTCTGCTTAGCGTAACACGTCTGAACCTCTCTTTTGTAAAATAAATAAGCTACAAAAAATGGGGGTTAGGATTAAAGATTATAATACACATGAGAAAAGTTTATGTGTAGACATTTCTCCTAGAAGCCATAGTTCAGTGTTCCTGTTGACTTCACAGAACACAACTACTGCAAATAATGAAAGTTAACTGCAATGAAGAGATGTGTACTCATATATAAAGAACTGATAATCCAGTTGAAAGCTAGGTCAAAGTTCTGTACACATGTCCCTAAACATGATACACCCATGTCCATGAGCAATCTTTGGTGTCATTTGTCACAAGGAAATGTAAATCAAACCATACTGAAATCACTTCAAAGAGATTAAGATGGGCATTATGGCTATGGAAAAATTCTAACCCTTTGAAGCCATTGGTAGGAATGTATGACTGTGCAGTCACTTTGCAGAAATACTTTGGCAATTCCTCAAAATGTAAATGTGAAGTTTCCATATGACTTAGCAATTCTACTCATAGATGAACATCCAAGAGAAATTAAAACAAATTCAAACAAAAATTTGTATGTGAATGTTCATAGTAGCATTACAAAATGGTCAAAAGGTGTAAAGAAACCAGATACCTATCAGCTGATGAATAGACAGAAAATGTGGTATATCCATACAATGAAATATCATTCATTCATAAAAAAGAATGAAGTGCTAATACCTACTACAACATGGATGGATCTTGAATCATTTTGCTAAGTGAAAGAAGTCAGGCACGAAAGAACACATTTTTGAGCAGAAACAAATGAGAGGGTAACTGATGATTAAAGTTTCTTTGGGGAATGATAAATATTGCACAACTGTGGTTATATAGACAATTTGGTACTGAAAATGGTTAGGATCTGAACTCTAACTCCCTTTCTTTTGCAGTGCTGGGATTGGATCCAGGGCTAGGTACATGGTAGATAACAGCCCTATTACTGAGTTACAGCCTTAGGCTAAAATTCTACAGTTGGCTTAATTATTTATTTTTTTAATTTATGTATTTATTTATTCAGTGCTTGATATGAGGGACATGGTTTCACTAGTAAGCCCAGGTTTGCCTCAACATCCTGAGTGCTGGGATTATAGGCATAACTACCATGTCTGGTTATGCAGTTTAAATGAATGAATTCCATGGTCTGTATATCTTAACAAATCCTTTTCCCCTAAAGAATGTACTTTATTCATATATTCTAGATAGAAACTTTAGAAACATGTTACTTTATGTAATACATTATTAATAAATCAGGTAAGCTCAGTTTGTACTTACATTGTCAAAATAGCAATCATAACCATCAGGAGAGGCCATTCTCAAAGCTTCTTCCAAAGACTTTACTGTCTTGTAGTTAAAGGCAACATCGAATCCGAGCTTCTTAAGATAGGCAACCTTCTCATCAGACCCTGCTGCACCAACAACTTTGCAGCCCTAAATGAGGAAAAAATGCAGACCATTAATGAAGCAGAAGCAGGGCCCAATTCCACTTTCCCAGTCTTGTACAATCAGGTTGCTCAAGAACACACCTGGTGCTAATCAACTTGCCCACACTATGACAAAACACCTGAGAAAACAACTTAAGGGAGGAAAGAGCTATTTTGGCTCACAGTTTCAGATGCTTCACTCCAAAGTCTGTTGGCTCTATGTTTCTGGAATATATATTATATTTATCACAGCAGAAGGGCATGACATTAGGAAAGCCACTCAACTATGGCAGCCAGAAGAATGAGAGACAGAGACAGATAAGGAGAATCTAGAACAACTTCCAAAGACAATTGTAATGATCTACTTCTTCCAGCTAAGCTTTTGCATTCTAGTTTGTCTGGTCTACCAACAACGCCATCAAATCATCAAATGATTCTATCAGTAGGTTGATCCATTGATGAGGTCAGAACCCCTCATAATCCAATCACTTTACAAAAGTCCCACTTCTGAAGTGGAAGCAAGCCTACAACATATGGGAATACATTTCCTATCCAAACCACAGCACACCCCATACACAAGGAATTCCACAGAAAGTCAACAGACCCTGAGGGTGAAATGCGTAGGTGCACACATGTGTAGATTCCTAGGGAGGCCAGAAGAGGGCATCAGATCCTCTAGATCTGGATAGACAGGTGATTGTGAACTACCACATGGGTGCTGAGAACTGAACTTGGGTCCCCTGGAAGAGCAACAGTGTTTTTAACTACTGAACCATCTCTCCAACACAGTGCAATGCTTTTTTAGAACATCATTTTCCCTCTCTCTCAAGTATTTCAAAAATTTTATATTTATTATTAATCATGATGTGTGAGTATGGGTATATGCATGCAATAGCACATATATGGAGGTCAGAAGACAACTTTGTAGAGTTGGTTCTCCAATCCTCGTTGAACCTTTATATCATAGATTGAACTCAGGTCATCAGGAAAGTACAACAAGTTCCTTTACCCATGGAGTCATCTCTATAGTCCTCCATATAAAATAAAAATTTTTGCAATTTAAATATTGGAAATTCTTCTAATCACTTTGTAAATCTAGCCTATGCTAAATATAGTTAGACATTCTGAGTTCAGAAAAAGAAAAAAGCAAAACCCACAAATCAAACTCATATGTAAAGATAGAGGCAAAATTCTCTTTAAATGTTATCAAATCAGGGATTGGCATAAAACTTAGTGGTAGAGCCTGTGCTTAGCATGTGCTAGACCCAGGGTTCAATTACCAGCCTTATCCCCAAAGCTACTATCAACTCCAACGGTATAAACCTACAGTATGCCACTATTTCTTGAATTTCTGGAATGCTAAAATGATGTTGGAAAACATATGTAACTTGCTAGCTGTGAAGTTAACATGACAAAAGCTGAAAGTGTTCATAAGATCCAGCTTCTTTTCCCATGTACATACTTACTTACCTAAATATTTTCTATAGTCTCGCTTTTGTTCAAGCTCCTATTAGTAAGAGAGGCCAGCCCTTGGTTATTGGGTATATAGTCCTACATTCAATGCTATTCAACTTACCTTGTCCTATAAGAACATGTCCTAAGTCCTATGCAGAAGCCTTTGGAAAAGCTACACCACTCAGCTAGGTCACCCGAGAACATCCCCAATGAGAAAACAAATTCTAACCAGGTCTGAGCTGCCTACTATCCTGTATATCCACCATCAGGCTGGATTCCTTGAGCAGAGGGTTGTCCAAATCAGAGCCTACACTTTGCTTACATTTCTCTAGTTCCCAAAGAATACCCCACCACCCTAGACTGATTGATCATTTCTGTCTGGTGCAACAGCCTTTGCAATAGAGCCATGTGGGTGATGACCTCACCCACATGGTTTGGCTGACCTCTGGAATCATGAAGGAAGACAATTAAACTGAGCAAGACAATGTACAGTAAAAACAAAACATATATGTTATGAAACATATTATACATATTGCTAACTACTTAGTAAACCAGATGGGCCCATGCCTGACTTAATACCTGTAATGTTATCAGCCAACACTGGTCAGCTCATCTTTACTCTTTTCTTCGTTTCCCCCTTTCTTAACCTCTAACTTCTAAACAAGTTCCAGCAAGTTGACTGTACACCCCCTTGAGTCCAGAAAGTTCTCTGTATTCACTTCTGCATTCCCAGTGTGCACTGTGGGTCTTGCAGAGGTATGACTAGAGGAAGACACTTACCTTGAGCTTAGCTATCTGCCCCACTACAGACCCCACTGCTCCTGCTGCTGCGTTGACCATCACTGTTTCTCCACCCTTCACACCACAGATGTCAAGCAGGCCAAAGTAGGCAGTGAGGCTAAGGAAAGAACATAAAGATGTGGGAATAGATTCAGACTCTCTCTGTTTCTGTCTCTGCCTCTCTCTCATCTCTCATCTCTTTCTCCTCCCTCTTCCCCCCCCCACTGCCCCCTATGTAGCCCAAGTTGGCATTCAAATTGCAATCTTCCTGCTTTTTCATAAGTACTGGGATAACATACCCTACATACCAACACAATTTCACACAACACACACACACACACACACACACACACACACGTGCACACATGCACACACGTACACATGCATAAATACACTCAAGTGTGCAACTGCACACACAAACATACACATCTCTCTCTACAACCCCAAGATCATCAAGAAACCTAGACTGCTTAACCTGTGAACCCCAGGGATCTGTCTAGCTCTACCTCCCCAGCACTGAGGTTACAAGTGTGTGCCACTGCATCTAGCTTTTAAGTGTGTTCTGGGGATCCAACTCAGGTCCTTAAGTACTTACAGACTGTACCATCTCCCCAGCCATAGGAAACTTTCAACAGGAGAGCAGCATAAGGCCAATCAAGACCAAGAATTTGTTATCCCTCACCTACCAACATTGCTCTTAGATTAGCCCTGAGTTTTAAACTTAACTTGATATGAAAATCCACTGTATTTAACTGAAGCACCAAAATACAAAGTCAAAATAAGAGTTTGGGATAAAAATGAGTTCATCAGTAGAAAAAAAAATCTGCATCTTTGATTTAAAGCCAATGAAATTCATATGTATTTCTGTGACTACTAAGCCACCTGCAAAGTTTCTGACAGATGCATGGTAAAATCAATGCTACCTGAATGATTCAGCTTCATCCTACAGTTGGAGCCATGAGAATTGTTGGGCAGTGACAGGCAGAGGATCTACATATAGCCATGAGCTGCCTAACAGCATGCTGGCCAGTGGCAGATAGAATGTACAGTGATGCTATGTAAGATGACATCATCTAATGACACTGGAGCTATCCCAGTTTGTGTAAGTTTGGTCTGCAAAACTATGAAAGAAATCTACCTGTGGTTCACTTTCCAGAGCATCCTGTCATCAAGAGGTGCATGGCTGTACCTGGCATCCCTTAATCTACTATTTGTCAAGAGACAGACACAGCTCCGCCTAGCTATGTCAGACATTTTTTTTTTTAAATAAATTCCTATGTCCCACCCTAGATTCACTGATTCAAAAACACTGGGCCAAAAAAGTTCAAAATTTAGTTAGATTCCATGAATGCTAGCAACAGAAAGCCACTACCTGATAAACAGGGACACCGGAGCTTTCTGAGCGAGTTAGCCAAACTTCAAGAGACACTGAGCTTACTTTTCCTATTTTTGTCTCTTAAGGTTTCAGAGACTGAACCCAGGGCCCTGTGCATGCTAGGCAAGTGCTCCAGCCCAGGCTACATGCCCAACTCTACATTTTCTGATTGTGTCATTACACCAGTGTCAACCAGCATCTCCCTTTCACAATCTACCTCCATGTATTTTAAGAGTCAGCTTTCAAAACAAAACATAGATAAGATGGAAGCATCAACCAAAAAGTCCTAGAGGAGAAAGTAAGCTGCCTTAGCCTAAGGGGGACTTAAAAGAATCAACAATTTAGAGAACAAAACATAATTTGGATCCCTTCCCCTTCTTTTTCTTTTTGAGACAGACCTCACTGTGAGGCCCTGGCTGGCCTGGAACTCACTCTGTAGACCAGGCTGGCCTCAAACTCAGAGATCTGCCTACCCCCAGAGACCTGGGATTAAAGGCATGTGCCACCATGCCTAGCTAGATGTTTTGTAAAGATAGGATCTAGCTATATCTCAAGCTGGCCTTCAACTCATGATCCTCCTGCCTCAACTCTGAGTAGCTGGGATCACAAAAGACAGTTTGGACTCCCATGTCTTCTGCGTGTAACAAAATGTTATACCACACTGGCAACACTGGGAGATAGTAGAGCATTTAACAAGTGGGGCATGTCCCACCCAACTTCTTCCCTCTTTGATTTAGCCTCAGGAATAATGCTAGCTTACCTTCAACTGGCAAGGAGGAACTGAATAAATGTAAATATATGAAAATACATATGCATAGTATGTAACATGTTAAATATACATATACAGTAGAATATCAAAATTAAGCTAATTAAGACACATGTTACTTCACATAGTTATCACTTCTGTGGCCAGAACACTTCAAATTTGTCTTTGCAGTAATTTCCAGCCTTACTGTTGTTGTAAACTACACTCCTGCTGTAAGACAGATCTCCTAAACTTACATCTGTAGACGGAGTTTTTTTCCACCTGGTCCCACTGCTGTTTAGCCCCAAATAAATTCACAGAGACTTATATTAGTTATAAATTGTTTGGCCAGTGGCTCAGGCTTCTTATTGATTAGCTCTCTCTTAATTATTAACCCATAACTATTAATCTATGTATTTCTACATGGCCTTATCTTACCAGAGAATGCCAGGTCCTATCTTTCCAATAGCTACATGGCATCTCCCCCTATGTCCTCTCCCCAGAATTCTCCTTGTCAGTAGCCCCACCTACACTTCCTGCCTGGCTACTGGCCAATCAGTGTTTTATTCATCAACCAATATGAGAAACATATACAGTAGGACATCCCTCATCATCTCCTCTTTTCTGTCTAAATAAAAAGAAAGGTTCTAACTTTAACATAGTAAAATTATATATAACAAAACAGCTATCAGGCAAGAACTATAGTTAACAATATTTAGTCTACTAACATTTTGCAAAATTTATAGAAAATATTTTATCATCTATCCTATCTTTGTGAGTCTAAAGTTTTATATGTAACTTACCTTTTATCATAACTAAGAAAAACCATAACTATCTGTCTTCAACTCCATCAAAGACCTCAGAAGGATAATATATAAACTCTAGAATTGACAGAGACATCTCGCTGCCTGAACAGTCACCCAAAGTTCTTCTGTAATGTTGGAGCATCCATCTTCAGCCTATAGGCCTAACATCTTTGACAGAATTTTCTGTGAACCAGGATAATATTAAGGACTGGACCACCTTGTCTTGGCAAAGTTTGTAGTCACTCTTTTTGGTGTCCTGCTTGTCCAATTTGGACAGCATAGTGTCAGCAGTTGAGGCAAGGGCACTTTCTTGCCCAGTGGATAACTTTTGTCACAAAGAAATTAAACTCCATGTGGAGTTTCTTTGATGCCTATCATTTTCTCTAACATAGATTGGTGCTGCCAGGAGCAGCATGTCTCATTGTCATAAAAAAAGAACCTATATTATTAAAACATGTTAAATGCTATATTCAGTAGATTGCTGAAGTGTCTGAAGATGACCTGTCTTTAGAATATATTAGTTTGACACTTGTAAACATATCTAAAGTGACTACAAGTCCGACTGTTATAGTTGACTAATTACTAAACTACAGTTCCTTATTGTCCTATATGGTTGATAATAACTTTCAAGGACTAGAATTTGTATTACATTGTTAAATGAGCTGTATAGATACAATACATTGAATATTAAAAGTGTATGTACAGTATGTTTTAGAAAAATTAACCTCAAATTTGTATCAATATACAACATTTGTATACAATATACAAAAGTTCAATCCAATGTAAAATATTTAAAATTAGTAGTTGCTTTTTAAGAGTAGATTCAATAATCTATCTTTTCATCTCAACATATGTCTCCTGTGATGGGGGAGGTCCTTGTGTGTATATGTTTCTCTTATTGGTTAATGAATAAAACACTGATTGACTGATTGGCCATATAGGAAGTGACGAAGGTGGGCAGAAACTTGCCATTAGCTAACCATAGAGGTCTGGAAGTCTGTACAGACAGACAGGAAGTGACATAGCTGGGAAGAATCAGGATATAAGCAGGGACAAACAGGAAATCATTCTCTTCTCTGAGGAGACGCTTAGCAGACACCATGTGAGACCACAAAGGAGTAAGAGGTCCAGACCCTTTTCCAGTAAAATAAGACCATGTGGAAATACTTAGATTAATGGAAATAGATTACTAATTAAGACAGAGCTAGTCAATAAGAAGCCTAGTCATCGGCCAATAGGATTATAATTAATGTAAGTATCTGAGTGTTCATTTGAGGCTAACACTGCTGTGGGACCAAGCTTGGAAAGAGTGCTTGCTACACTTCTGTCTAAATAAACTTTGTGTTGGGCAGTGGTGGTGCACGCCTTTAATCCCAGCACTTGGAAGGCAGAGGCAGGCAGATCTCTGAGATCAAGGCCAGTCTGGTCTACAGAGTGAGTTCCAGGACAACCAGGGCCACACAGAGAAACCCTGTCTTAAATACCACCCTCCAGATAAAAATAAATTTTGTATCTTTGGACCAACATGTCTCTCAATCCCCATCATTATACTATCAGCATCTGTTGGTTCTCTGATCTTTCAGCTTTAACCCCAATATCTGTCTCTAGGTTTTTATTATTAAGACCTACTAGAATTTGTGCTGCAATGCATTGATTACATCAGAGATCTCATGATTTAATCACTTTGCCCAAACTCCACCTCTGAACACTGCTGCATTGGAAACTAAACCTTTAAGCACAAGAGCCTTGGGGATGGGTCAGCTCATCTCCAAACCGCAGCATCAGTGGGATCTAGAAAGTAGGCTAAAGTGGAAACTGTAGGGGAATCCTGTTTTGAGGTAATACTGTCCACCCCCACTTAAGGCTGGTCACAGGTGTTCCCACAGGTGACACGGGAAAGGTTTAAGTAATTCAGGGGTGTGCATGCCTGGCTGAGCCAACTTGCATGAGTACTTCTCCTAAATAAACTACCATTATAAATCTTGCATCTGACTCCACATTGTGTTCAGCAATAGGAAACCACGGTAGAAATGTAGCAATCTCCTCCAGCTCCAGCAAAAAGTTACTTTTCTGGTACAGACTTGCTCAGCCCCCTAAGGGAACATCCCAGCAATGTTCTGTTTTTCTGAGCCTTGCTCAGTCCTCCTAGGGGACATCTCAGCAAGTTCTTCTATTCTATGCCAGCATGAAGATCTTCACCCAAGACTTTTGAGAAAGACATTTATTTGGGAAGGAGTCCAGGAGAGTAGCTATCTCTACCAGGGTGGGAAAAGACAACCAACAACCAATGGGCAGACAGGTTTATATAGGGTTTCTTGCTGGTGGAGTTTTCCCAGGAAGAGGTTTTTTCTGCTCAGGGATTGGTTAGTTTAGTGGGGTAGAGATGGCTCTGTTTCAGACTCAAACTATGTTTCTTTCACTGACCTTGTTTAGCCTTTTGGCTCTAATTTTAGGGCAGGGAATATTTCTTTCACTGGCTCTGATTCTAGGGACAAAGTGTTTCTTTGCCACTAGTTTCAAAGTCAGGGTGTTTTTGATTCTAGGTTTAGGGATAAAGTGTTTCCTTCACTGGCTCAGGTTAGATCCTGGGTGTGTTTCTTTCACTGGCTCTTGTGTTCAGAGTCAAGGTGCTCAGGGATTGGTTGGTCAGGGGCAGAGCTGGCTCTGGTGTCAGGGCCAAAGTGGGTTTCTTTGGCTAGCCCTTTTACCCTACAATCATAAACGCCAAGGTTTCCTTCTTTTTAAAGGTTACATATTCTTTTATATATAACATTCTCTTTATTCATTCACTTAACATTCCTAACGTTTTTCTCTTATCAGCCCTGTGCCTTATTTCTCTCGTTGCTGGTTAAGTTATAACATTAGATATTCTGACAAACAAAACATACCCATGACACTTACCCTGGCATGCCAACTGTCCCCAAAGCCAAAGACAGTGGTAACTTGTCTGGCCACTCTGCTGGCAGTTTCCTCAGTCCATTCCCGTCAGAAATGGAATGTGATGTCCAGCCTGATAAAGCCACTACGATGGTTCCTGCGGGGAAGGCTGGATTTTTGCTTTCCACAACTCTGAAAGATAAAAGTATAGTAAGACAGGTGATATCTTTTCCCATTCATGGGGGTCAGGATGCTTTGTAGGGAATGTTCATAAGAGGCCACCATGACTGACACTGAGGAATCTTCCCTTAATTCTTAGCCACATGGGAACCATCAGGGAAGAACGTCCTCACCTGATCCAGCACCAATCCCTGTCCCTGTCCACTTCGCTTACTTTTAGCAGGGGTCCTCTGTCCTCTGGCTCCAGGTGCCTCTATCCTCCATTCTATACACACCAGCCTCCCCTCTCCCTGGAGGGCCCTCCACCCTGTCCCCTAAGTCCCCTTTCCTCTTGCACTGTTATCATTTCCTTCTCTGTCGTAGGAAAGCACACCTCGGGCATTTTATAATCTCATCCCCTCCACCTTCTCAAGTGTATAACCAAATGTCCTCATTTTCCAGTCACATGACACACCAGAACAGCATACTCTTCACCGCCACCAGTCCACCAAGGTTGCAACCTGCTGACTGCAAAACATAGTGGCTATTCTTTTTTTTTTTTAACATCTTCGAATTTTATTTATTTATTCATGTGCATGGAGGAGAACACAGGTGCCATGGCAACTGTTGAGGGTCTAGTCTCTTTCCATCACAGGTTCTAGGGATGGAGCTCAGGGTAGCAGGCTTTTCCTACTCACTATCAGCCTCCACTTCTCCCCTCTGTCCCTACAGTTCCCAGGACAGACTTCTCCTGCCCTCTCGACTTTCCTTTCTAAGCTGCCTCTTTTCTTTCTGCTTCATCTACAGATTTCTTGCAGCTCCTCTCACCTTCTCCTTACTTCTTGACTGCCTTCCCCTAAGTTACAGCTACAGATCACATTTAGTTTTAAAAATTTAAATAAAACGAAAATATCAGACTGAAAACTCAGTAGTACAGTACTTGCCTGGTATGTGTATAACCTTGAGCTGGGTCACAAGCACAACATTGTTTTTAAAAGCAAAATTTTTAAAAAGAGGGAAAAAAACTTTAAAAAAATCAAACAAAAATAAAATCAGCTAAAATCCAGAAGAGGGATGGGATGGGGATCAGTGGGGGGCATGGGAGGATGAGAGGGAGAGGGAACTGGGATTGATATATAAAATAAGATTGTTTCTAATTTAAATTATAAAATCAGCTATAATCCTACAACATACAGATAACAGCTAATACTTTGGTATGCTTCAAGGTAATCTTAATGGTAGATTTAAAATATATAATGTATACTTACATAACTGAAGTAATGTTTTGCAACCTAATTCCCTCTCAACACTAGATTAGTTTATATGTAATTTATATTTCCTGTGTTATTAAGAATCTTTTAGAGTTGGACAGTGACATCACATCCCTTTAATTCAGCACTAGGGAGATAGAGGCAGGTGGATCTCTGTGAGTTTGAGGCCAACCTGGTCCACAAAGCTGAGTTCCAGGACAGTCAGGGTAGTTACACAGAGAATTCCTGTCTCAAAAAGAACATTAAAATTTTTCCTTTAGAAACTGTAACTTCAAATGGTTGATTTTAATTACTCCATCAGTAGTTTTTTTGTCAATATCATTCCTGCTGTAAATTACATTTTAACTAATTATTGTTATTGTTTTTGAGATAGAGGTTTCTCTGTGTAGCCCTGGCTGTCCTGGAACTCACAATGTAGATCAGGCTGGCCTCGAACTCACAGAGATCCTGATGCTTCTGCCTCTGCCTCCCAAGTGCTGGGATTTAAGATATGCACCACCACACTTGGCAGTGAATATAATGCAAAGCATTCTTGTCTAAGTGGTCAAATACATGTGCACACACATACACATGCACACACATACACACACCCACACACCCACATGCAAACTTCATGAAGAATTACTGGTAGTAGAAAACTTTGAAAATAGCTGTTATCAGTAGTAGATTTAATTAAATGGAAGAATGTAATGGAATAATCTATAACTTTTAATAAACATAGATGGCACATTTACACGCTGATAACAGCAGTGTATGACTTACTGAAAAAAGCCAATTTTCTGGCAGGCATATAATCTCTTTCAAAGTAGAAGTCTGTACTTACCAGATTTCGAAATAATACATTAACAACTGACTCAGAAAGGGAACTTTCCATTTCCAAATTTCAATTTCTTTGAATTTTTACAATAATAATAAATTAAATATATAAAGCTTTATTTACGTTATTAAAAGTAAGGATGGCAGAGAGGCTAAAATAATAACCTACATCCATGATAGTTAATATTGTCAACTCGCCTGGTTGAGAACCACTCAGGGGATAGTCAGTGCATACCCCTGGCTGGATATGTCCTATGAGGGAAATAAAAGAGCAAAGAATGTGGGGTGGTGGTGGTGCAAACCTTTAATCCCAGCACTCAGGAGGCAGAGGCAGAGCAGGAGGATCCCTGTGAGTTTGAGGCCAGCTTGGCCTACAGAGAGAGTTCCAGGGCAGTCAGGGCTACACAGAGAAACCCTGTCTCAAAGAACACTCCCCCCCCCAATAAAAGGAATGAAGAAAACTAGCTATCAACTAGTGCAGTGGCCCCACCAGCTGTCTCTTTTTCTCCCTATCTTCCAGGAGGCATTTGTTTTGTTTAACAGGGTCTCCCTATGGTTGGCCTTAAACGTATGGTCTTCCTGCATCAGTTTCTCAAGGTATAAAGACTCTCCTGCAGGCTCCTATTCCCATGACCCTTCTCACCTCAGGCCCAGAATCAGCAGAGGCAAGGGCTACATGCTAAACCCTATAAAACCATGACCCAAAAGGAGCCATTCCTCCCTTTTAGTCATTTCCCTAAGATATTTGGTCACAGCCACATCCTTCCATCCCTCTCAGTTAAGAAGGGGATGGGCCTTCCTAAATGATTTCCTAGTGAACCACATAGACTGGAGAAGGAGCTGCAGGAGCAGTGGGCAGACAGACCTGGCAAGAGCTTGAGGACATTTATCTGAACACCAAGGCAGGTGTAAATACTTACCTGGCCACTTGCTCACCCATCATCCTATCACCCTCCTTCAAAAAAAAAAAAAGAGAGAGAGAGAGAGAGAGAGAGAGAGAGAGAGAGAGAGAGAGAAAGAAAAAAATTTTAAAAAGATCCATTCTTACTGTGCAAGATTATTTGGAGTAAAATGTCTTGACTATCAAACCAAATGGCAAAACACTGGGACAAGACAAGACCCAATATACCAGGGCAGTACAACCAGGTGAGACACAGCTTGAGGTGGCCCTGCCTTGGACCCCAACATACGCATACTATAAATAAATGTGAGAATCTTACCACTATGCTCAGTTGGAGGTGAGTTTCTGTCAACCATGCAAAACACAACATGGGCCCTGCTGGTATCTGTTTTCCTAACATTAACCACCCCCAAAAGGATGCTAATTACCATTTTGTTTTGTTTAACAGGGTCTCCCTATGGCTGGCCTTAAACATGTGGTATGAACCACCATGCCCAGTTACTAGTTAATATCTTGAAATGGTATGTTTCCACCGAGAGTTGAATCTTTGCCTATCAGCTATGGGAAAAATACTATAAAGTGGCTGTATTACTTACTAGGTTAAAAAAAAATTGCTGAAGTACCATTGATGGGGCATTTATTCCCTCTCTACCCTCCAGTGCTTTCAGAATTGTAAGTTTGAGTCAACTACAAACCACATAATAAACAAATACCGGTGAAGAGAAGACAGAAGTGCTGGTTTAGTTTTAGCACCTTCTGCTCAACTACTGCCAGTAGGAAATGGGCAAGTAGGGGTCTAGCTCCCATCCCCTTTCCCCCATCTCTCCTGGAAGCAACGAAAAGCAAACTGCAGAGCAGACCTTTGACTAGAGAAGATGAGCACCATTGAATCTCATCACTGATACAGTACAGGGAGGAATAGGGGAAAGCCTGCTGTTCTAATCATGGGCTATCCTAAAAGATGAGCTGCAGTGCTTTTTCAAAACATGGACCCAAAACATGGAAAACTGAGGAGAGAGACAGTACCTCATGTAAGGATCCACAGAGATGAACAGGGCTTCCAGCAAGACCTCTACAAAACAAAGAAAGCATCCAGATGCAGTTAGAGACTCAAGCTCTGACGGCTGCAATAGTCTGGCCTAGTCTTTCCGCTTAGGGGCCTCTCATCTGTGATATTAATGATTGACTCACTGTGCTGTGGGCTGATTCCAGAGCCCTGTGCATGCAAGGAAAACTCTCTTACCACAAGCTTCACTTCTAGCTCCCCAACTCTATGAAAGAAGGGCTTTCACCTTTGGCCCAGCCCAGCCGATAACGACAATGATGATGATACTGCTACCTGTATTATTGTAGGTGGATCCATTCATTTGATGTTTTCAACTACTGTTCCATCCCATTTAAGGTCAAGTTAAGTAACTTACCATGGCCACGTTTGTAAAGGCCTCGGAACAGTTTTCATGTAATGTCTTAGCTTCCTACTGCTGTGACAAAGACCATGACTGAAACCAACTTGGGGAGGAAAGAGTTTATTTCAGCTTTCTTGCCTCAATCACAGTCTAATATAAAAGGACACAGGGGCAAGAACTCCAAGAAGGAACCTGGAGGCAGGAGTTGAAGCAGAGGCCATGAAGGAACTCCACTTACTGGCTTACTCTCACTATTTATCTGCTTTCTTACACAACCCAGGACCACATGTCCAAGGGTGACACTGCCCACCATGGGTTGAGCCCTCCTATACAAATCATTAATCAGAAAAATGTCTATAGATTTGCCTATCCGTAATTTGATAGTGGCATTTTTCTCAGTTGAAGTTCTTTTTCCAGATAACTTCAGCTTGTGTCATCTTGACAAAAAATTAACCAAGACACAAAGTATTTTACTAACTTCTTCAGTCAATACAAAAGAAGATGTAATATGTATTTTCTGGAACTCTGAATATAAGTTTCGGCCATTGCAACAGTCAGTGATCTGTCATGTAAGTGACTGCATCCTGTTCTAAAGAGTTTAGTGACTGTAACACTCTCTAGACACCACTCATAGGCTGGGCACTGGGCACAACTGCTAAGAAATGCTTGTCTCACTGTCATCATCAGGCTCACCAGGACAGAGGGGAAGTCCTCCTCTGTCAAAGCCATGAAGGATAAGGCATCCAGGCATGAGCTTCATCAAAGATACTGGGGAGAGGGGCCCATGATGACATTAAAGCTGCATAGAAAAATAAAAAAAAAAAAACTAAAAGGTTTATTTAGCAGGTTGCAAAAGGGTCACAAGCACCGCCCACCACTGTGTGCTGGTCTCCTTGCCACTCTTCCAACCAAGGAATCTGCTTCCATGGGTTGAGGATGAAGCCCAATGGTTACCTAAAACCATGAGGAGGAAGAGGCAGCAACAACAACAACAAAAAAGAAAAAAGAAAAAAAATTGCTGGCCTTTAAATCTGGGCAACTTGCTTTGACCCATGGATTTTAAGAAAAGCAATATAAGTCAAAGCTTGAAAAGTTCTTGAACATTGGAGCTTGACAACCCAGCCTGTTCTAGATCCACAAGACCACTACAAGAAAAGAACTCAATCTGGCTGTCCAGAAAGGGGGAAACTGCAGCCTGACCCCAGCAGAAAGCCTCCTATCATTAGGCAGATGAATGAGACTTGTCCTTAAGTAACAAACCATGTAGCCCAGGTGAGACTCAGCTTAAACTACCTAGCCTAAACTACCGACACTCAGAACTGTAAACTAATAAAAAAAAATGGTCTGAAGTCAAACTTGGAAATTGTTCATAAGGTAGCAGAAGCTAAATGATACAGCCTCTGCCAGCTCTGACTTACCCCCATTATTTAAGGGTGGGAGTTCAGTAGTCTTCAACTCGAAGTTACTGTCAGTAGGGAAGCCTTCAAAGTGCTTCTTCAGGGTCCAGCTCTTGGCCTGCACCATCCTGATGTACCTAGAACATGGTAAACATGTGGTCAAGGAACATCTTAAAGCCCCGAGGCATGGCACTGAGGCCAGAAAACACAACCCCATTACCATACTATCATTTTATCACATCCATTTAGAACTTTCTGGGATTATGCTTAGCACTTCCTATGTCTGATCTCATTTTATTCCCATGACTTTTCTGTAAGAGTCATCGTTAAAAATCACTTCAGGGCCAGGTGGTGGTGACACACGCCTGTAATCCTAGCACTCAGGAGGCAGAGGCAGGCAGATCTCTGTGAGTTCAAGGCTAGTGCCAGGAGAGGCTCCAAAGCTACACAGAGAAACCCTGTCTCAAAAAAAAAGAAAAAAAAATCACTTCAGGTGTGAAGCTGCAGAAACAAGCTAAAACAAACTTTCAAGGCAAAGAAAATGTAAACTGACAAATTCTGTCCGGGTCTTGCAGGAGTTTCTCTAGGACATTAAACAACTAATGGGCGTCCAGCAGTTTCTCGCCTTCTCCTGCAGTGAATCTTGAGCCTCATATACAGGGACCAAAGTCCATGCCTTTTTTTTTTTTTTTTTTCCTACAGAAGCACGGACCTCACAGCCACGCGGGGGCGCCGCTGCTCCATCTCATTTTCTCTGGTTTTTGCTCCAATGGAGAAACTGTTTTACACTTGCCTCCAGGCAAAAAGACAAACAAAACAAAACAGACAATCAAAACTGCTCTGTGCTTTAAATGGTTTGGGCCACGTGGGACCCCAGTGAATTCTCCAGATAAGCACTCAAGGCTGAGCAGTTTGTCCACTACAATTCTCACACCTTTGGAAACAACCTAACTGGAGGACAACGAGTGGGTGAATCCCAGTTCTTCCTATTGACTTGTTCTTGGTTTTGACAGGGGATCATGAAGCCCAGGCTGGCCTTAGTGAGCTTGCAATCCGATCCTCACGGGAACCGTCAAATGGTGCTGATAACCAAAACCCAGACCCTCTGCAATAACAAGTGCTCTTAACTGCTGAGTAATCTCACCAACCCCACACCATTCCCCCAACGTAGGATTTTTAAACTGAGAGATAACAGCTTACATCGATAGGCACAGTGTATGCAATGTAGATTGCTTAACACACCCATCCTCTTCTTTACCTGCCATCTTATGAGACATATGGAATCTGCTTGTTTTGAACTAATCTTTATTGTTGCCAAGAGTCACACTATCTGATTCTGCACCCTTTGACCAATACTTTCAACCCTTCTCAGCCTCTGGTAACTATCATTTTACCCCATATTTCCGAGTTCAATTTGCTGTTTTTCTGATACAGGGCTTGGCTGTGTAGCCCAGGCTGGCCTTGAACTCATTGTGTAGCAGAGACTATTTTGGAACCCTCCATCCTCTTGCTTCCACGTGCCGGCATAACAGGCACACTCCATCACGCTCAGCTTGAGCCTAGTTTATTGTTACCATTATTTTCTATGTGCATGATACAGGTGTGTGAGTGGGGGCTCATGCGTGCCACCGAGAGCTTGTAGAGGTCAAAAGACCACCTTCAGGAGCGCCTTTCTCCTGTGGGTTCCAGGCTGCTCGGGGCAAGCAAGTATCTTCACCGGTGAAGCATCTCACAGGAGGATTCCCATTTTGTTTTAAGATTCTGCATATTTCCGTCTCTCTTTTCAAAAAGACAGCACCTGGTCCTTCTGAACTTGCCACAAGTCTAGGAGGACCCTTTGGATAGGGTCCTGGTACTGTGCCTTGTTGCATGACCTGGCCTGCTTGGTTGGCTTCATGCCGCGCATGCGCGAATGCCCATCCCTGCCTTACTTGTTTCAGTTTAGCAATCCTGAAAACTCCAAGCCTAGACCATCCCGGGTACTGGCGGTTCTGCCGCATGCACATACGATCAGACTGCAGGAGGACTTTGCTCTTTCCTTAGCGCGGATCTCAATCTTTCCAAGAACCTACAGGGACTGCGAGGCGATCCTGGGCTCCCTAACTTGCGGAGTGCAGAACCTAGGGATTACTGAGCACCGTTGGAATGGGGGTGGAGGGACCTCCAGCACTCATTTGCTCAACGAGGCTCTAGATGCTCAGCGAAAAGAAAGAACCGGTCGGGGGAGAGAAGAGGAAAAGGAAAGGGATCAAAAATAGCAGTGTGTCTACTTACAGAAGCTCACAGAAACTCCTTCCCTGGGAGGCCGCTCTGAATGCTCAACTAAGCTCCAAAGACTCGACTTTTGCTGGGCGGTCGGAGAGGGCGGGGCTTCTCCAGGGAGGAGCAACTTCTGGAAGCCTTATAGATTAGAGCATAGGGTCACAGCCCAGGAGGAGGGACACTGGGAGGGGTTTGTGTGTGTAGGTGTCAGTGTTCTAAATAATATTTTTTTTCTTTAACCGAAGAACCCAATTTATGTTCGCAAGGTCAGAATCAAAGAAATCACCCAGTTCATTCAGGCAAAATCCCTCCACCTCCGGCCAGCGTTAATTAAGCTAACTGCTGCTGCTGTCACTATTTCTCTTCCCAGGAGGAGAGGCAGGTGCTAGGTTCTCTGAGGGCTTACCAAAGAAGGCCAGCAATGGCGACATCTAAACATATACTTTTTAAAGGATGAGCTGGTTTACTAGAGGTGAGGGATGACACCTGCTTTAGATTTAGAAACCTATGCCCTCGGGTGACTTCACAATCCTAAATCGCATTGCTCAAAAAATGTAGTTTACACCCAAGCTTAAAAAGGGGGGGAGAGGTGCAAGCTGGTTTGCTTTCTCCTCAAGACAGTCCTTCGGAAATGAAATTTTAAGGAGGCTTTCTCAGGAACATTGTTCAGGTTTAGGGTGCCCCCACAGGGTGGGGGTGGGTGCCCTAAACCCCCCTGTGACTACAAGTCACAAAAATTCTTTAACCAATCTTGTTTGAGATGGTTTAGAAAAACACCCGGCATCTCCATACGGATCCCCACATTTTATGTTGAAGTTTCTGATCCCCAATAGGAACCCAGATGTCTGAGTGACCAACTTTGTTCCCTTCTCCAGTTCCTCTTATTTCCCACGTTTGTGTCTCATTAGTACAAGCATGCGGCAGAATGCCATCTCAGGAAGTCATTTGGCCTCTTTGCTGGCAATCCACACTCTATTCATTTATGAATCACCAAACCTTAGTCTAGTCTCCACAAGACATGTGATAGAAAGAAAGAGTACAGAAATGTTTTCACTTTGTAATCTCCTCTATTGCCCCCTCTCGGAATCCACAATTGTTAGCTGCTGTTTGCTTTCTTCTCTTTCTGTGGTGATTTGGAAATACAAAGGATTTTCCTATTTTTAACCAAAATTGACTTGCTCTATTTATTTTCTTTTTTTTTTTTTTTTTTTTTGGTTTGTACTGAAGATTGAACCCCAGGGCCTCACACATGTTAAGCATGCACTCTGCCACCGAGCTGTGTCCCCAGCCTGAGGGTCTTTATAAAGGTGATATTTTATGCCTTTTTTCTGATTTAATGTCACAGTCATCTTTCAAATACATAGATACAGATAGAGTTTAGTATTTGTTTGGCAGTATTCCATAATTGAGGTGTATAACCAGTAATTCCTCAGTGCTGGAGTTTCTTCTGCTGGTGTTCTGCTCCATGCCTATCTACAATGCTATAATATACCCTTTTAGAAAGAACTACATTATTCTAGTTCCTTTATCTCCATAAGCTAATTTCAAATGTAACACTGATTTTTTTTTTTTTTTTTTTTTTGGTTTTTCGAGACAGGGTTTCTCTGTGGCTTTGGCGCCTGTCCTAGAACTAGCTCTTGTAGACCAGGCTGGTCTCAAGCTCAGGGATCCATCTGCCTCTGCCTCTGCCTCCCGAGTGCTGGGACTAAAGGCGAGCGCCACCACTGCCCGGCTTGATTTATTTTTATATTGTGTATAGAGTGTTTTAACCTGCATGAATGTATGTGTAACACAAGTGTTCCTGGTAACCACAAGAGATCAGAGGGTGTTAGATGCCCTGGAACTGGAGTAAGGAAGGGGTAGGAGAGAACCACCATGTGGGTGCTGAGGACTAAACCTGTGTGATCTGGAGAAGCAGCTAGTGCTATTAACCCCTGAGTCATCTCTCAAGCTCCTCAAGAATGGATTTTTGATATCTTCATTGGATAGAGTGACAATGTTGTTTCAACCACTTTTGACTTAAAGAAATAATTTCATAAGTTTAACCCTATGAGGTTGCCACACTGCCTTCCAAAAAAATACTATGGCAATTTACATTTCTCTCTGGCCTGTCTGAGAGTTCCTATCAGCTAAAGCACGTGTCAGGATCAATGGTGTTGTTTCAGCTTTTGTCAGTCCAAGCAGTGAAATCAGCTTGTGCTTTGGGTCTTTCAGCCAAGTGTTATGTCTTTGGACGTAGAAATCCTCTCTTCCACTTGCCAGACTTTTGGTTACCAAGGTTCAAAGCGAAAGATCCAGGACGCTGCAGGACATGTATCCCAGTTTCGAATGAAAGGCAAGGTCAACTGTTCAGGTTTATCAGCTCCATAGCAAAAGCTCTCAGTTGGCCTTGGAACTTTTCAAAAGTAAGATTTAGGTATAATGGAGAGAGTGTGTAGCAGTTTGCTAGGGCTGCCACAACGAAATACATAGGTTGGATGATTTTGGAAGCAAAATTTTAGTTTCACAAAACTGAACGTGGGTGGACTGGTGAGATGCTGGGGAAATGGCTTAGTTGGTAAAGTGCTTGCTGGGAAAACATGAGGACCTGAGTTTGATTTTGAGAACCCACATCAAAAAAAAAAAAAATTAAAGGCCAGGCATAGTGGAGCAACACACACCTTTAATGCCAGCACTCAGAAGGCAGAGGCAGGTAGATCTCTGTGAGTTCAAAGCCAACCTGATCCTCATAGTGAGTTCGAGGCCAGTCAAGGCCATATAGTGAGAAATAAATTAATAATAAAGCCAAGCACAATGGTGCAGTTTTGTAATTCCAGCAGTGAGGAGGCAGAGCCAGGCAGATCTGTGGGGTTCACAGCCAGCCAACTTAGCTGACTCACAAGTTCCAGGCCCATGAAGATACCCTGTGTTCAACAGTAAAATAGACAGTTCCTGAGGAAAGGGGTCTGAGTTGGAAGTATATGCACACATGTGCACGCAGAAGTGTTCAATTTCAAAAGCTGTAAGATATGTAAACAACAGGAAAAATGACATATTTTGACATCTATAATGAATGTCCTTAGGGACATCTAAGATCAAGGTACGTAGGTTTTTTCTCTCCTTAAACTTGCTTTCCTGCCTGGCCACCCTCTCCATGTCTTCACATGGCCTTTTCTCCCTGCCTGCAAATCCCATCTGTCTTCTTGTGAGAACACCATCAAAATGAATTTGAGTCCTATAACATGAATTAATAAAGACCCAGAGTCAGATATTGGGGTTCAAGCTTCAAGCTGAATATCAGAAAAGCAAAGCAGCCGGCCACTAGCTCTCACCTTTAGCTCAGGCCGAAAGGACTGATCCATGAACGAGCTCTTTACCAAGCCTCAAACTGCTGTCTCTCTGTCCTCAGTGTGTCTGCAGAATGAATGCCTCATATTGAATAGTTGCTCCTGTCTTTTGTACTCCTCTAGTGCTGGGATCAAATGTGTCATCTATAATTCTCTTTTAGACTGATTCACTCTTGTATAGATCTGGGTGGCCTTGGACTCACAGAGATCCCTCTACCTCTTACTCCTGAGTCCTAGGATTAAAAGTGTGTACCACCTTTCCCTGGCTGCTGGAATTAAAGGTGTGTTATCACTGCTGCCTGATCTCTACAGCTTGAAGCTGACTTTGCTTTTCTGAATCTTCAGTCAAGCTTTAATAAATCATAAATAATATATCACTACGGGATCCTACCTAACAGCAGTGTTTAATTTAAGCCCCTCCCTTGGAAGAGACTGTGTCACACTGAGTCAGCATTAGAACTTCCACTAATTCCTGCCACATGGTTCTCACTTCACTCATATGATGTCATTTTATATCCTCTTTAATGATCCTCTCCAAATACGTTTTCAGTCTGTGGAATTTTAGCATATGAATAGGGACAGAATACAAATACTTAGTAGAGTATTTGCAGAAAATGTGGTGGATTTTAGACTGTGGGGTATAACACAGCAATCAAAAGATGCTCTGGCTTGATGCCTATAAAGGAATTCTGTAGCTCCAAAGACACAGTACTGGGGTAGGAAGTAAGAAACACAATGATGTTGTTGTGGGCTATACCTTTACACTCTGTGAAGATGTGTTACAAATGCCAATGAGTATCACACACACACACACACACACAAACACACACACACACACTGCTTTGATCCCAAGGTCCAAAATCACATATGAACAGTTTAGAAACCACAGCACACCCAATCTCACCTTAACAGAAGATAAGGAAAGATTCTGCATGGTCCAGCCCCACAGACACAAGTGGACCTGTGCAACTTGTTTTTCTGGTAGCTGGCCCTTGAGGTCACATCTGATTACAGCATGCCTTTCCCATTTAGGGCATGGACAGTTATGGCTTCAACTATCCTCTGGCCCAAAAAAAAAAATACACCAAAAACACCAACAACAGCAAACAGTATGAATAATGACACTGCACCTGACCTAAGAGCTTTACAGGAATTCATTCTCACCTTTCTGTACCACAAGCACCATACTTCTGTTAGTGTAATAGGATGCCTAGGCAAATGGCTCTTCTATCTTTGTACCTGGGGTTGTGCTCCAGTTCTAAACAGTATGCAGAAGCCTAATAAGGAGGGTAGAGCTTTTGGGAAAATCACTGTCTTACTGATAGAATAATAATACTAATGATAATAAACACATTCAATGGACATTAAACTTTTTCTCTTTGTCTTGCCTGCCTGAAGTGTGGAAGAGCTGCCTGATATTACAACAGCCCTTTTGTGGCTACATATAAGGAAGTCATTCACTGTAGAGACTAGAGAAAGATAAAAGGTCTCTATCTGGATCATTGAACATTTTGGCCAGCTCTGGGATTCCTACTTTGGATTCCGTGTTCAATGTGGGTTGAAGGGCATGCTTTTCAAGACACTATGGGTTTGGTTTCTAAACTATAGAGTACAGGCTTGACCTGGAAAAGGATGAGGTTAAGCCTGTTGTCTTTGTTACTGTTCTATTGGTATGAGGAGACCGAGTCAACTTTTAAAAAGAAAGCATTATATTGGGGGCTTGCTTATTGTTTCAGAGAGCTAGTACATGACCATCATGGTGGGGAGCATGGCAGCGGGCAGGCAGGCATGGTG